CCCGTCGTGGCCCAGGTACAGATATTGCAGAAATAACACTTCCTGGGTCACCGTCAACCATACCCAACACATGTGAGATGCATTCCAAACACAGCTATAAACAAAACAATCAGGTAACTCATTTGAACAAGAGTGAGGAGGCACCTACGAAACTGTGAATTTCATGAGCAATGATTAATTAAAATGAGCCGGCTAGACAATCCTGGCGGGTCGATCATTCACGAAGCTAAAATGGGGTGATCCAGATGATATGACCCATGTGATCTCACCTGAGCAGGTCCGTCTGCAGCTGCGGGATCTGGATCCTCTCCCGGGACCGACTGATGGCGAACAGGTTGTTCTCCTCCTCCGCCAGCACGTGTCGGTCGGAGAAACAAGGCGCGTCCACCAGCACCTGGCGAGAGAGGCCACCTCCGGTCACGGCAGGTCACAGAAAGTCCCAGCAGATAGGCTACATCACATCAGGTTAGGTCATACCAGGTCGTGTCGGCTCTTTCAGCCAGCTGCTAGTCACGGAGTTGTATTGTATTGTATTGTATGTATGTATGTATGTATGTATGTATGTATAAGAGCGATCCACATTTCAAATGCGTGTCGATTTCTGCTCAATTGGGTTTTGTGGCGCCCAATAGCAGTGGAATTCGGCGGACAGCACAATCAGGCCAGGTCACGTCGGGTCAGGTCATGAGCCTCTTGAAACGAAATAGGTACCTAGACCTACTACCTACGCAGGAAAATTGCGTTAACTTTAATTCTCTTGCACTTGAAACTTACTCGAAAACTTTACAATGACTACTAACGTACAAATTCTACAGAGCAGCTGGATGCCTGCGTTAGGAGGTTGAAGCAGGATAATTCGCTGCCTTGATAAAGTTTCTAAGCAAATGTATTATTTGCCGATTGTACAAAGCTTAAAGCTATGTATGTTAGTGCTGAGGGCTTCTCGCGCTGCTTCGTTGTCCTGTGCTGATGATGGTGCAGCACTGTGTTTTAGAAGCAATCTTAACTCGAACGAACAGTCAGGCTTGGAACGTAAAGACAGCAGAGACGTTGGGAGACACGGGTCATGCAACGCCGGATTGAAAGTGTTGGCCGGCATCGAAGGGGTAGCAATGTTCAGAGTTGCAGCACTGGTCGATATCATTGACAGTTATCAAAAATCAAATGTTAAGGAGAACTGGGCACTTTGGCTATTATTCAGCAACTAAATTGTTCACTTAGTACCAGCCGTTACCGTTAGCGACACAACTCCTTTCAGCCGCAGGGCAGTCACCCAAGCTACTCAGCTGCGAGAATGACTCATCAAAGACTCTGGGAATGCGAGCGGGTTTGCTGTGCGCTCATTATGCCAGCAGTTGGTTGAACACAACCAAAATAAAACGGTACGCAGCTGCAGCGGCCCTGCTGCTGCGAATCAATATCCCTGCATTTTCAATCTTTGTGCGAACCACAAAGTTGCTAAAGTCGCTTGATGTTCCATCTGAACACGAGCATCGACAGCCTCTGGACTAATTTTGGGAAGACAATTGAGATGCGACAGAGTTGGACGGATGCGACGCTCTCCGAGAAGAGGTGAATGACCACCTCACGAGGGAGGGTAACTGAGGAAAAACACTCCCCTCCCCACAGAAGTCGGAAGACGGGAGCGGGGCGGGGTGGAGCGGTGGGGAGCGAACACCTGTGTCAGTCGCCGGTCGCGGTGGGCCCGTCGCTCGGCCGGCCGCCGCGGCATACAGCGGAGAGGGGCGGGCGCCGTCGTACTGGCCGGGCAGGGACGTCAGCGAACCGGAGGGATGAGTTGGGTACGGCCGAGGGTGTGGTGAGCACGTGGGAAGTGATGTGAGGACTGTGACAGGTGGAACGCGATAGTTGAATCATCAGCCGGGCGTGACGGACGCCAGGAGAAGTGTCGCACACCAAACGCTGCACGCAACCCGTCGCCAGCGTCTTCAAGGAGCCGGCCTCAATATTCTAGTGACTGAATGCATGGCAATACCCGCCCATGAGTCTGTCAATTTTGTGCTGGCCTACGTGCCCAAAACAGTCGCCTGCTCGGTGACTCCTAAAGCCGACTGATCACCATCGTATTAGGACATTCCTGATGACTCCCGAGTTTACGATCACGGTAGCTCGTTGACTCGAGTCGATGGGATGGCTGCAGACAACCGACTGAGCTCTGACTCCTCGCGGTCAGCCGTGTCACCGGCTGCCCTGCGCTGGGCCAGCGCGACACGGCGTTTGGACGAGTTCCTATTCCGGTACAAGGCGGCGATGGAGCTGGCGCCGTACCTCTCCGGACCAGGTGGGTGTGTGACATGTTACACAGTATTGACATATTACTCTCGTACTTTAATTGAACAGTACTTGCCCATTAGAGAGGAGGTAGTGAAGGCATTTGGGGGTTCTTAAGTACAGAAAATAATATTGGTAAACGGTACCTGTTGATGATCGCATGAGCTCTTCATCAGCTAGAAATGCAGATGTTTTATTTTATGGATGCGTATAGGTTGTACGATGTTCATTCCTATATCATTGAATGAACCGAATGCAGTTGAAACAGAATGGTACATCTATGACCTGTCATGGATGTCAGTCACTGAGTAAGTAGGTACTGAAGGTTTTCACCAAAACAACAGCACAACATCTTTCAAGTAAGATTTGACATGCAAGCACTAACTACAGCTCTGTGTGTCATGCAATCTGGATCAGACATATTGCCAATGCAAAAAATTAAGCAACTCCGACTTCCGAGTCCCGAAGGATTAAGGAAAAGTGACAAATATGCACCATCGACCACAACTGCAGTACAGAACCAGTCATCCTATTAAGAGGTGATAAATTTACACGGTCAGTCGATCCCTATGGCACCCATTTCACAACAGACCGATAAAACAAATATCTGACATAACCTTGTCACAGCTTACGTGCAAATATCCCATGTGAAACTGGGGATTCATACAGCTGCCGCACCTTCGACTTACACTTCCGCTGACCTTCCGTATCAGTGATAAAGCTCCATTACGACCTCTGCCTATCATCCTATCGCGGCGCCGTGACCGCGAGCGGCCAGCAAGGTAAATCACGTGACCAACCGACCCTGGTCACTGGGAATACACCACGTGCCGCTACCTGCTGATCTGTCGGCCGGTAAATCACGTGACATACCGCCAACCCTGGTCAGTGGGAACGAGCCACGTGCCGCCAATAATCTGACCCGGTTTAGCTGAGCGGCCGTCAATCATATGTGGGCCATAACCATATACCTACCTACGTAATACAAGTTCCGAGCGACTAACATACCCTACAACACTAGCACACAAAAAATACTCTTCGAAGGTAATAGCAGATTTGAACATGCGGAGCATCAATATTTAACCCTCGCATGTGTGCGGCGTTTGCCAGCTTCTAATGTGTAGGGGGGGGGGGGGGTCGGTTGGACCCCCCTTGCCGTTTGGCCCCTGATCGAGCTAGCGCTTCGCGGAAAAAACGAGCGTGTTGCCCGTGACGAGAGGAAGCCGATGATACCCAATTTTAAGGTCCTAGGTCATTGGTTGACCTTCCAGGTCAGGTCAATGACCCAAAGTCGGGAAAATCGGGACCTGTTAGAAAGTCGTAAAGTGTGGCTGATAAGGGGTTTTTCGAGGTGCTGATCACAAATATCGTGTTAGTTTTGATCACAGATGATGTCTTGAAGCATTTGGACCAGGTCGGGTCAGGTCAGGTCAGGTCAACCAGTAGGCGTCGTGACGGGTATTCGTAGTACGTGTCAACCGCCTCTGACAGCTTCGTAACATGTTACGAAGTCACCAAAACTACTTCGTAAATGTTCAAATGGTTGCTAAACTCGAATTCAGCTCCAAAGACTAGCCTAGAAACATGTAAAACTCGAAAAAGTGAACCGAGGTCACCCGAGGTCACCAAAGGTCAATGACCTGACCTGACCTTCAGGTGACCTTGCCACACACGGGAGTAACATCAAATCACATGTTTGAACGTTTGAAACCACGAAAAGCTTGCAAACACGCGGCTAGTGCGAGCCGACATACGCGAAATCGCGATTCCGGCCAAACATGGTCTCGGAAAAGAGGTCACAGGTCAAAGGTCATTTGGGTCAGGGTCATGAAATTTTCAGGGTAGGTGTAAAATCGATCAATGCGAGGGTACTGAAAGTTTCGTCGCGATCGGCCGCTTTTTACGCGAGTTATTCGCGAAAAACCATGCGGGGAGGTCCATCCGACCCCCCCTACACATGCGAGGGTTAAGATCTCCAGCAAAAACATACTTATCAAACTGAGAAATAACACAAACCCCTGATTCGTTGCCGCCACCACAACGCATGTAGCGCACCCTAATGAGAACGGAATAAATCACCATACCAGGCAATCAACAACATCGAATAAAAACGGAATGAAACTCCTACACAAATCATCCGCTCATCCCATCCACGAAAAAGAGGAGTGAAAAGAACGCGAAAGGGAGAGAGAGCACTCTCTGCGTTCCATTGCCAACTTCGCCCTACGCCACCTTCGTCATGAAGCACCTGGCTTATCTATTCAAATACCTACCCTTCGGAACATTGTCATAACACTACAAAATAACACTACGGCGGTGCCGGATTTCGGGTTCGATTCCCGGTTCCGCCCGTTCCGCGGGCGTCGTCCCCGGCTGTGTGGGGTAGGCTCCCACTTCAGCCGTAGCCTGGGGGTGGGGAAAACAAGGACCGGGAGGAGCAGGAGCCCTCCTGGGAGCCAATAGCCCGAATTGGGAGCCAATAGCCCGTTGGAGGGAGGTCTGAATAAAAAAAAAACACCAAACACTTGTATGCAGTGATGGAGCTAGCATCCCGTGGTCCTGTGAACTCTGATCGAATGCGTGCTACAAACATGCTGAACGGTCATACGGGTCATACATAAGTTTTTCTTTTTGCCATGAACGAGATGGCCTTGATCGAAAATCACGAGCCAGCCTTTTTCTTGCCAGGTAAATTTCCTAAATTTCCTAGCAATCAGAGCAGTATACATAATTTTGTAGATCCGAATGGGCTAAATTAATTTACTCTAGGACTGGGGAGCTAAATAAACATTTACTCTGGGATGTGGGTGGGTGGTGGGTGGGAGAAAGATAAGGTGATAAAGGTAGGAGGCCCGGAAAATTATAGCAAGAACAAAATCAGCACAGTAAATCTATGGAACAAAGCTCAAGATCACGAAAAACGCATGTAACATCAATACCGGACGTCAAATAGGGTAAGCTCCTCAATAGGCTGCGCTGAATACATCTCATTGTCATTAAACGTTGTCTTTGTACCCTTAAAACAGTCCTCCTGCTCCCTATTCGTTAAACTGGTAGGCGATTGACGGCCATCTTGGCTTCCTTTCAGACGGCGAGTTTCCGTGGCGATCGACATCGGAAGCGCAGACTCAGCACGATCACCAGCAGCAACAGCAGCAGGAGCAGGCGGCGCTGCACAGTCGGCTGACGCAGCAGGCGCAGCTGATCGCGCACTACCGGCACGAGCTGGTGCCGCGGCTGCGCGGAGACATCACGCGGTTGCGCTCGGAGAGCAGCGCGCTGCTGTGCCGACTGCGACACGCCGAGCGACAGCTGGCCATGAAGGAGCAGCACGCGGCGCTGCTGGAGCAGCAGCGGCACGAGCTGCGCGCGCAGCTCGATAGCGGCCGGCTGGACGTGCCGGCGCTGGTGGTCAGCATGCGCAGCACGCTCTCCCAGCTGGAGGCGAGTCTGGCGCAGTCGCACGAGGAGTGCTGCCGGCTGTTCGCCGACGTCTCCATGCTGAAGACGGAGAAGGCGCTGGTGAGTCGCGAGCTGCACGACACGGAGCGGCGCGCCGAGGCGCTGCAGCGCGACACCCAGCGCCAGAGCGAGGAGCAGGAGCGCCGCGCCGCGCAGCTGGCCGAGCGTTTGGCGCATGCTCAGAGCAGGGCCGACCGACTGGCCGACCAGCTGGCCAGGGCTGAGGGTCAGGCGCGTCTGGAGCGGACTGCGCAGACACACGAACTGCAGCGCGTGCAGGAGGAGAACATCGGTCTCCGGGAACAGATTGACAACCTGTTCGGCATTCTGGCCAAAAAGGACGAGACGGCGTACAAACTCTGCTCCAAGCTGCTCACACTGAAGGAGGCGCGCGACCAGAAGGATACTGAAGCGCTGGAGACGATGGCCAAATACCAGCGCGTCATCGGTAAGGTCCTCGACCAACTCAATGACGTCAACATGGAAAACCTGCTACTCGTCTCCAACCGGCTTCAGCACAACCAACCGCAGCAGTACAAGATGCTGCTCGAGAGCCTCAAGTTCAAAATCTACCTGGAGACGGAGAACGCCGGCATGACGCAGGAGGCCAACCGACTGCGCTACGAGAACTCGTACCTGAAACAGGCCAACCGGCAGCTGACCGAGGAACTGCAGGACGTGCGCCTGCGCCTGCTGCCCCAGGAGCTGCGCGAGGAGCGGGTCGAGCTGCGCGACGGCCGGCTGACGCGCGCGCGCCGCGCTTCTCACACGCAGACGGAGCCGGAGAAGCGCGCGCCGTCGCCCACCGCCGACTCACCGGTACCGGCCGACTTCCCCACGCCCGAGACGTCCTCCCAGTCGTCCGTATCACTGAGCTCACTGCCGGAGAGCCAGCAGCGCGCGCCGCCGCCGGTGGCCGTGCAGGCGGGCGGCCGGCCGCGGCGACAGAGGCGACGAGACACGGCTGGAGGACGGCGGAGGGTCGTCACATGGGGTCAACTGCTGGAGGCTGAGCCTGAGGATGCCGCCGCCGATCGCCTGGACACGGCAGCGGTGACACAGATGATCCAGCTGGCCGCCGCGCAGAGCACCGAGCTGGAGCAGCTCGGGCACAGCGTGGAGCTGTCGGACGAGGACTGAGCTAGCCGCGAGGGAAGGTGACGCCCACAACTCGACCGTTGTACTATACTGTACTATACTGGCACTGATTAGGATTCGTGAGGTTGGATAATTTTTATATCCAAGACATCTGAAGCTCACGAGAAGAAAATTGAAGAGATTTACGATGGATCAAAGATACCTAGCTAAAAACAAAACAAAATCGAGTCCGCTGAAAAGTACAGCTATGTATGAACGATGAGCACGCGCCAAGGGGCTGACTCATGCGTGTTTTTGAGCTGCCAACAGCCCCATTTGGGCAGACTGATAAGTGATTTCCACAGCTGTGCCGGGTGCCCACGTTTAAGCACGAACACAAAGAACACCTGATTTGACGGCCTCCCTACAAGGCAATGCTTGAACAGCGCTGGAGGCAGAATTTCTGAGCTAATACGCCTCCTGGGGCAAGTTATCAAATTACAATTGTCGATGATCATTCCACAGAAGAGTCAAGAGATGTTTGAATATCGGATAGGGATGCTTACGTGGTACGATAGTAAAGATATTGTACGGATTTTCAAACGGCGACGCCAAAAACTTTATTTCCAGTTCATCATTTTTGAAGCCCACCTTTCCTAACCCTCCGTGTGTCGCCAGCCTTAGCCGAAACATTCGTCAGTCTGTGCCGCCAACCTATCTCGTGATACCCGCTAGTCTGCCAGGTGACACGGGCACTTATGAGGCAGGTTCGCATCTGGCGACAGCAAGGCAGCCAAGTGGTTAGTAATGGCAGCCGACCAGGATCAGCCCGACGGGGCGCCAGCTGTGACAACCGACACGCGACGGCCGGTCACAGGGGGGGGGGGGGGAGGGAGGTCAGGCAGAGGGCACAGCACGGGCAAGTCAAACGGCAGGAGTGGAAACAGCGAGAGAGGCTGCTATTTGCATATCTTTTGTCAACCGGGGTTGGGAGATATTGTTAACGGCAAGTTTTATGTGTAGAGAGAATGATAAGCCGCTTTATGCGCGGCTTATGTGACTTGGCAATCAATGTCACGCTACGAGAATGATTGATAATATAATTGCAACAGCGAAAGTTCGTGATTTCGTTGTGCTGAAGTTCGTGATTCTGTACGATTTATCGGATTTCAGGCGGTGGAACTGACAATTTTTAGTTATGTAGAAAAATCGGTGATGACAAATCAGACAATGGGGACTTTGGAATCACGTTATTTCAGCTCAACTAAAGAAGCTTCAGAAATCATACACTGTCACAGGCCACAGCGCTGAAAATTATTTGTGGATAATGTTCCTCATCACGCATAAGTGCATTTCAAAATAGAAAAAAGCACGACCCTTTATTATATTGAACACAGACACAGTGAGATTGGGTCCAGCAGCAGCCAGACTTCACCTCTCACCCATCCGCTCCACGAGAACTCCCTCTCACCAGTCCCCTGTCCCCGCCGCAGCGTACCCACCTTATCATACTGCTCCTTGTCCTGGAGGCGGCGTCCGTCCATTTTGGTCACCTTCACCTCACAGGGCCACCGGTCGGCCTCGGGCAGGTAGTCGAGCAGCACTTGTTTGAGCCGACGCACCCGACCCGCCTGGACGTCGTTACACACCAGTGACGCTGCCGGAACGACAGGCGAGCGGTCAGGTCATAGGGATAGGTGCTTTGCGGGCGGTTTTTGCTTCTTTAGCATTTTACCGGCCTCAATCGAGCATTGAGAATAGTTTTATGTGCAAATAGAGGGCCAGTATGCATTGGAACTCCATGCCTGGTACCTAGTCAATTATCTCGTTAGTCAAAAAGCAAGTGCCGTGAGGAGTGGATCCTAATCGTATGCCAGGATATGGCACGTTCGTTTAGTACCAAGCACTGTGTGTGTGTGTGTCTGAGGCGTTTATGCAGAAAAACATCGAACACTTGTACAGGGCACATGAAAAACACCACACAGACCAAGCTTACCCACCGACAGCGATCCTCTAGAATTTCAAGGTGTGCCTGTTATTACAAACCCCTTCCCCACCCCTCACCCACCAGCCCCATCCGATGCCAGCCCTGCGCTCAGGTGACTCAGTCTCAGCTCCCTCCCACACTCACACTAACCTGGCCGCAGTGTCTGCAGGATAGCCAGTGCCTTCCCACCGGGCGCCGCGCACAGGTCCAGGACAGAGTCCCCTGGCTGTACGTCCAGCGCCAGTACAGGCAGCAGAGACGCCGCGTCCATCGGGTAGTAGTCTGCAGCGAAACGCACGCCACGGTAAGAGACGGTGGATGGGTGAAGGGATAGTGCATGAGAACCGATATGCCATTCACAAATAATCAATAAAATAATTACTAAAATCGAGGTGCCAAACTACCTATGACGAACAAAACACCGCTGGTATTCAAATGATTTCCCGAAGACTTTTGAAAAAAAAAACTGATCGATTTCCTCGTAAAACATGCTGCACAAGACCGTATCGAAGACGAGTATTCTGCACATTTCTGGCTATTGGTAACAGCAACCAGCCAGCACAATCTACGCCCTAACAGTCCATGGATTGGCTTGCATTCTATCATATAGCATGTCGGTTTGGCCAGATAGTTGCCAACGAACAGCACATCTTCTGACAATAGTCGGGCCGCCTGATGGCGCTACTAGTCACCCCCACAAACTCGGCTAGAGCACTGCATACAATCACATGCAGACAGACACCCAGAGGCCGCTTCTGCCCCTTTCCTTTGCGCTATGACGCACCTTTGGCCCCCGAGCCGGAGGTCTGCGGGTGAGGGAAGCGAGAGATGTCTCCGGCCGGGTAACTGAAGAGCCTCAGCGTCTCTGGGATGGTAATCGGTCCGTCCCGATCCACGGCCACTCGCAGACTGCCGTCCTCCTGGGGACGGAGGGACGGGAGGGCAGAGGGAATCTGGTCAGGTAGCTGTGAGAGCAGGAGAAATCATGGACTTGAATGAATCATCATACCTACATACTGAAGAAAACGGTCGACTAATTATATTTCATGAAAAACGGTTAACACATTGCATAACTTTTTCACTGGTAACTCAATGCGCAAAACGTCACCCAATGATTTGGTTTATTACTGTAAACAAAGTATGCAAAACATTAAAGAATGGTCATTCTGAAAAGATTTGCCCTATAAAAACAAACTCCCTTACGAGCAAAATCACTCGATGAGAGCCTATCCGAGCAACACTTAACAGCCCATCCAAAGAGGTTCTAACCTGCGCGAACTGGAAGTAGTCGCCCTCCTCCAGCCAGTCATCATCTCCGTGCAGCTGACTGGCCGGCACGTAGTCGTGCAGAACGGCGGAGGATACGTCTGTGGGCTCCAGGACCCGCAGCCGACCGGCCGCGTCTGCCTCCTCCTCAGGAGCGGAGGCAGAGGTGGCAGAGGTGGGAGAGGAGTGAGGAGAGGGAGTAGATGGGGTTTGGTCGACCGTGGAGCCAGACAATCGCAGCCGAGAGATCTGACTGCGCAGCTCTGCCGTAAGGTCGATACTTCCAGTCTCCTGTGGATGGGGTGACGAAACTTGTTTGCAACGAGTGGACTACACAGTAGTTTATCGCAAAACGAGTCGCCAGTCGTTAAAAATTGATGATCAAACATGAAATTTACCGTTTATCTCGTTAATTTTTTCTCAGAAAATATCAGAGAAGCACCTATGTATATGTGATTTCACGCTTCGCACGATCATAAAGTACAAGGCTACTCAGACCTCCAATGGACCTCTGTGTCGTCAAATATCTGGGCGACGATCATTGCTTTGAATATATGACGCACAACACAGCACTTTTCAGGCTGGAGTCTGCCGAAATCGCATTCCGGCATTCACCCTTTTCATACCACTCTCTAGCCCCTTCCTGCTGCCCCCACTGACCGTCAGCCGGTCGCACGTGCCGGCTACGTCGCCGAAGTGGTTGACCAGAGCGGCCGGCTTGGAGCGACACAGCAGAGCCAGCCGCATCGAGCGCCAGCGCGCGCCGTAAGTCTCCGGGTAGAAGTGGTCAAAGTGCTTCATTGCCAGCGCTGGCCCCGTCTGCCGGCGCTTCAAATTCGCCTGTCGGTAACAGACACTCGTTCAAATACATTTTGCAACATAGCTATTGATAAAAAATACATCAAACCAGTGAAGAAATATGAATCTTAATTTAACTTCATTTGTTTTCAATGGATTCATTTCTCATTACCTTATATCATCTGTGGGCTGTGGCAACAATTTTATTAGAGTTAACTTAACCCTCGCATGTGTAGGGGGGGTCGGATGGACCCCCTCCATGGTTTTTCGCGAATAACTCGCGTAAAAAGCGGCCGATCGCGACGAAACTTTCAGTACCCTCGCATTGATCAATTTTACACCTACCCTGAAAATTTCATGACCCTGACCCAAATGACCTTTGACCTGTGACCTCTTTTCCGAGACCATGTTTGGCCGGAATCGCGATTTCGCGTATGTCGGCTCGCACTAGCCGCGTGTTTGCAAGCTTTTCGTGGTTTCAAACGTTCAAACATGTGATTTGATGTTACTCCCGTGTGTGTCAAGGTCACCTGAAGGTCAGGTCAGGTCATTGACCTTTGGTGACCTCGGGTGACCTCGGGTCACTTTTTCGAGTTTTACATGTTTCTAGGCTAGTTTTTGGAGCTGAATTCGAATTTAGCAACCATTTGAACATTTACGAAGTAGTTTTGGTGACTTCGTAACATGTTACGAAGCTGTCAGAGGCGGTTGACACGTACTACGAATACCCGTCACGACGCCTACTGGTTGACCTGACCTGACCTGACCCGACCTGGTCTAAATGCTTCAAGACATCATCTGTGATCAAAACTAACACGATATTCGTGATCAGCACCCCGAAAAACCCCTTAGCAGCCACACTTTACGACTTTCTAACAGGTCCCGATTTTCCCGACTTTGGGTCATTGACCTGACCTGGAAGGTCAACCAATGACCTAGGACCTTAAAATTGGGTATCATCGGATTCCTCTCGTCACGGGCAACACGCTCGTTTTTTCCGCGAAGCTCTAGCTCGATCAGGGGCCAAACGGCAAGGGGGGGTCCAACCGACCCCCCCCCCCCTACACATTAGAAGCTGGCAAACGCCGCACACATGCGAGGGTTAACTCCAAGCAGCACTTTAAAAAATTCCCATCAGTTTATGATTTTTTTTTGTATTAGTATATAAAATGTTCAAATGCCAAACTGATTATGAAAAGCATGTTATACAATGTATTTTGACCTCCTGATTTCATATCTGATAATTATTCATTCGGGAAATAAGTATCAAAGCACCTGTAAAATATTTACAGTTACCACAAACTGTTACCACACTCCACACACACAACCGCACATTCCAGCTTCCGGCCTTGGTATTTGCCATCTGTCACCAAGTTTGAGTGCAAATATGTTCCCTTCAGATGCTAGGTATTCAACTGTGAATAATGACATTGACATTGTCATAATATTCTCAAGGCTTAGCAGTGCCGAAGGCAATGTCTTAGGAGAGATTACAAGTAATGCCCGTCACTGGCACTGACATTGACATTGACACTGGCACGGGCACTGGCAGACACTGGCAGACTGAGTCAAATATTTTTAGGTTAAGTGGTTGTGTATCTGGCTTCAAGCCAAAGCATAGCCTTGGTTCATAATATAAAGTTTGTCGTAACACATACACTAGGTTTATCAAATCCTCAACAAACCAGCTGCTGAACCATGCAAGTTTGAAGTCCAAACTGAAAAAACTGTTGGACAGATGACAAGTGAAGCAAAGCTTGCAAACCAATAATGCCTAGATGAACTCACTAACTGCTCAGCAGCTCAGTGATGTAAAGTGAAATCTTCAAAATGGAAATATCATATCTGAAATGGACAAATTATTACAGATTTAGGAGCATTTTAGTGAAAAAAACATCTTAATTTCACATTATATTGACATACCCAGTGATCCGCTTTTTTGCTCTTCCATCTTCGGCTTAACAAACTGCTTTCTTGGCAACACCTTCCACAAAGTTTAGGTGAGAATAATATGCAGCGGTTCATTGTTATCACATATCCTAACGCAATTAATCACAATACCGTATTGGTATACACCGGTAAATGGTAATTATTATTGATATCAATATCGTATAAAGACAAGTCAGGAGGGATGCCGCGCCAAGCTGTCCATCTTTCATCTCAACTGCGCCACAAATGACGCCAGATTTTGCGTAGCCATCAGCTAACTTTTATCAAGAGTTTTTCTTAGTTCTGCATCACGTAAGTTTCCTTGACTTGGTTTCCCTGATGTTTTCATCAGTTTTCTTAAAAAATACAAAACCAAAATTAAATTTTTGATCATCTTCGCCTTAACACAAAGACGTATCAAATTGTCTATTAACTATGACCAACAAAAATATTTGCGCTTTATATGGTATTGCGGCACAGCCTGCTTGCAGCTTGCAGGTAATGGGCTAGTGCCATCTAGCGACAGGAATAGCGGTACGGGATGTTGTCCGCTCGGTCTTCGCCGCTTGGTCACGGTAGATCAAGTATTAATAATACGTACTAGGTCACCCTCCCGCGCCTACCGGCGCTAATTGTAATCGTCGTTTGAACATCTATATAGAAATCCCTGCCCGTCCCGTCCAAAATCCCGTCCATAATGCCCGCTTTCTCTCTCTCTCTCTCTCTCTCTCTCTCTCTCTCTCTCTCTCTCTCTCTCTCTCTCTCTCTCTCTCTCTCTCTCTCTCTCTCTCTCTCTCTCTCTCTCTCTCTCTCTCTCTCTCTCTCTCTCTCTCTCTCTCTCTCTCTCTCTCTCTCTCTCTCTCTCTCTCTCTCTCTCTCTCTCTCTCTCTCTCTCTCTCTCTCTCTCTCTTTTCCTTTCCCTTTCTCACTCCCATCTGCCTCCAACCCTCTTCCCTCCCTCCTCTCCGCTCTCTGACTTTGTCGATCACTGATCCAATCGTATGCTTACTTACCCCTCACCATCCGTCTCTCTCCCTCCTCTCCCCGTCTCCTTCATCGCACTTTTTCGCTCCTCCCTCCCTCCCTCCCTCGATTTCCTCCCCTCCCCTCCACTCCCTCCCTTCCCCTCCTCTCCCCTCCACTCCAATCCCCTCTTGGTACTGAAAAAGTACTGGCTAGTGGCTTCTTCCCCGCCCGCGTTGCAGATACATATACGTTTTTATGTCCCAGTTCAAGACGCTATACGCATATTGGTACGCTCGTAATACTAAACATGATCGCTATTTTTTCAGTATTTTGTGGAATTCTGTAACTAACCTATCCCAAATCTGAGTGACGCCTTCCTCCCTCTGCACCCCCCCCCCCGCGACCCACCACTCACGATCGATAATGTTTTCAGTGCTAAAGATTATATGCCTGCTCTGTTTCCGTTTCCGTCTTCCCTCTCTGCCTTTGTCTCTGTATCTGTCTCGTCTCGTATTCCATCCCCATCTCCGTCCCAGCTCCCGTCCCAGCTCCCATTCCCGCTCCCGCTCTCTTTCTCCGTCCCCGTCTTCATCTCCCTCCCGCTGACCGCTTCATCTCCGTCTCCGCCTCTGTCTCTGTCTCGTCGCTGTCTCTGTATCTGTCTGGTCTCCGATTCCGTCGCCGTCTCCGTCCCCGTTCCCGCGCTCCAGCTCCCGCTCTTTGTCTCCGTCTCCATCCCCGCTCCTGCTGGCCGCTACATCTCCGTCTCCGTCTTCGTCTCCGTCCTGTCCCCGTGCCCTTCCCCGTCCCCACTAAACATAATCGATAATCTTGTCAGTATTTTGTGGAATTCTGTAACCAACCTATCCCAAATCTGGATACCTCGCCCCCCCCCCCCCGCCCGCCACTCAGGATCGGTAATGTAGTTATTCGTAGCGGCCGGGTGCTGCAACTAAGCTGTAAGTGCATTTTAAAAACGTCTTTCGGCTCCATTCTCTGTACTTGTTCTCTCACCGACTCAATCATTTGCTCACTTAGTCACTTACCCTTCCCTCTCCCTCCATCATTTCTTTAACCATCCAAATACCATTTACCCTTCCCATGTCTGTATCATGCCGCATTCCCGCTGTCCGGCAGCGGCCGCTCTGACGGCACCGCAGTTACCGCACCAACCCCTCCGCCCGCTCGCCCCACACTGCGCCGCCGCCGGCCCGTGACTGCGGCCGGTCGGTCACGTGGGGACCGCAGCGACCTCTACGGGGTCGCGACCCTAGCGGTCGGGTACAACAACTAAAGATTAAAAAACGTCCCGAGCTGGGATCGAACCAGCGACCCACACCACAGAAGTCCACTACTCTACCAACCGACCCATCAAGGACGCAAACATTATCGATTTGAATAAGCCGTGGTACTCTGCACGGCTTGATGACATGGTCTGGTGCGTATTGCGGCGTTTTACGGCGAAGTGGTTGAGAGCAAATTTGGTTTTAAAGGAAGGTTATACGCCATGTTTCTTGACCAAATTTTCAGAACAACAGGGCAAAAGCAAGACAGTACGCTGGAATTGGTTGTCCAGCGGTGACATAAACGTTTTATGATCGGCGATCGCCGGTCGTGTGAGCTGACGTCACGCAGACAGTCAGCGCCATCTCTGGAGCGTCGGGCGACATAGCCGAGGGGCCGAGTTTGGCTATTTGGGGGGTGCGAATGCGATTAAAAATGTGCCGCGCACATAGCCACGATCGAGAGCTGTCGATTGGTGGTTGAATTGTGTCTGTAGGTAGTGTGTGTCGACCGTGATAGGGAAAAAACTGAAACGCTTCACGTATTATTTATTGTCGACGATTAAGTAGCCATTCTTTGATTCTTCCATAATCATAAGTGTTAAACCCATGCCCGCTAGGAGGGGGGTGGAACACGCCCTCCACCCTCCTCTGACTCGGCTCCTGGACCACGTAGCGACTAGCGACACGCGGTAGGCGCCGACCCCCACCAAACACGATTTGGCAGCACTGTAATGGCGTCTGCTGGGCGTGAAGTTTTCCCTTCACCATAGGGTTTACACACAAACTGGTCAAAGTTTGAGCCAGGATATACTAGTCTAAAAATGCAAAAAACGAACAAATTTTGGCATCAATAGATTCAGCATTTCATCGTGTGCCTCAAACCGTCCATCATTTGGCCTCAAAGGAGGTAAAAATTGTTCAAAATCGAAGTTGAAAAGGTGCTTTCTGAGCACATAATCTGGTAGCAATCACGTGACCTGCTATAAGCAGCTTATCGATAATTTACAAACATAATTATTAATATGCTGCTTTAACCCTCGCCGGCCGAGGGGGGGGGGCGGGTGCCGCCCCCCCCCCATAGGGTTTTTTCGCGATAGCTCCGAACACGCTGGCAATAGAGAGCTGAAACTTGGCATACCTGACCTTTGATCCAAGCCGCATCTTTTGACACCAACCGCATTTTTGGGTCAGGTCAGGTCACTGACCTATGACGTCATAAGTGAACCTCTGCACGGTCTTCAGATGTCGCAACTTCGCAACACCCTCACTGCCAGAGGAGATGTCACAGGGAAATGAAACTTGCAGGATCTAGTATCCATTATGAGTCTCACAACTTGTATATCTCGGATTTTTCCTAAAGGTCATATGAGGTCAGGTTATTTTCGTGACCTCACCATTATAAGTCAATGGGGAAAAATTCAAACTGCTATTCTGGCGCCGGGAACGATCTCCAACTATCTCAAGCACACAGAATCGTGATTTGATGCACTCCTTGCAAGGTTAGATGCGTCACTTTTGCAATGTTGACCTTGCGTGACGTCATTTATGACGTCATCAAGGTCATACTAGTTTTTCGTCAATAACTCTTGATCAAATTGAGCTAGCGAGTCGGGAAAGCCACCAATGGACTCAGGAAGACCTGCCGAATCGAATGATATGCGACATGACCCCTTTCGACCAACTTCGTGACCTTAGGGTGCTGACCTGACCTTGACCTGAGGTCAACACCCAAAGTTGACCTGACCCGAACAAAAAGTATGTCATTCGACGCGCCTGAGCGAGGCGAACACGATGCTGCCAAAATCGCGGCTCTGCGGCCATTTTTTGCGAAGCTATTCACCAAAAACTGAACCGTACCTTGGGGCACGTGACCTGACCTCAGAGGTCACCGGTTGACCTAGGACCTTAAAATCGGGTACCAATCTCTGCGTCTCGTAACGGCGCACACGCTCGTTTTTTCCGCGACGCGCTAGCTCCACCAGGGGCGAAACGGCGAGGGGGGGGGGTCGTACCCGCCCCCCCCCCCTCGGCCGGCGCGTATGTAGAAAACCAATAGGTCCGGCGAGGGTTAAACAACATTAATTTTTTTTTCATACCTTTTTATTAACACAATTCACATAAAACACAAACAAAAATAAGCCTAAAACATTTTTGTGCTCCCATCGGCGACCCGCCTGGCCAGGCCGGGACGGTGTCAATCCGTGACATGTGCCGTCCCGGCCCCGGGGAGAGCTGTGGGATCCCTCCCCAGCCGGGGAGATCTGATGGCTACCTCCCCGGCGCTCCAGGCGGGCCGCCAGCCCCCGCCCGCACCGCCCGGCAAGCAGCCCCGGGCGGTGCCCCCTAACCACCGACCGGGCGAGCGAAGCGTCGACCCGTGTAGGTCGGCGCTCCGCACGCCCGGCCGGCCGACCGGCCCCTCACAGGAGGGGCCAGTCCCGGGTTGGCCCGGATGGGTCATAGGGGCGGGGGCTTGTAGCGCGCACATCGTTTTCCACTAACACTTTTTATAACAAACACCATATGCATACACACAAAGGACAGTCATTTTAACATTGTGTATCATCGACATTCGACACCTGACATTTGCCCCTTCCCCCCTTCCCATCGTAGAAAAAAATGTACACATCATGTTGCACTACGCAAACATCGTGATACACAACAATAATTAGTCACAAAGTGTTTGTTTCATATCCTAAGGCGGTTACCTTTCTACACGCTCCGCTAAAGCGCAAAACAACGAGCCCCAGGTATCGTTGAATTGCGTTTCTCGATCATTTATTTTATAAGCATACCTTTCTACTTTAAGATAGTTGTACAGGTAAGTGACGAATGTGGGCTCAGATAAGTGACTATTGCATTCCCTCTTATACCATATAAACTGTTTTCCCAATGAAAGAATAGTATTGATGCGCTTGCAGACCGCGGAATCGTTGTGCTCAAAACCGGTGACTACGGCTTTGTATGTAATATTGCGCCCGTTGAATAACTCACCAATACTGCTCCAAAAAGCCCTTACTCGGTGGCAATGCCAGAATAAATGTCCAATTGTTTCCACCTGGTGACAGTACGTACATCGATCCGTGTCTTTGATGTTACAAGTAAAAAGAAGTTTGTTTGTTGGTAAAATTCTTTTTATGCATCTGTAATTAAACCATTTTAGATTAACATCTTCAACAGCGTAATGCAATCGTGCGTAAATAGCAGGCCAATTCAGCCGCCTTCCACCTTCAAGCTCTGTTTCCCACTTTGTGTGCGATTTTTCACCCCGAGTAGTATCTAATACTTGTTCTAATAACTTGGAGTATGCCCATCTTGCTGGTTTAGATGAATTTTGCAACTGTTCTATAGATGTTGTATTGACACTTCTCTGAAGGTTTCGTATTTTATTGCTCCAAGCGGTTGGCACTGCGTTTTTTATTGCCGCTGAAACCATTGGGTGCACGCCAAATTTTTGTGAAATTTCATTGACTGTCATCAATTCTTTCTTTCGTAAGTTACATATATCTGCTAGTCTAATGATACCTTTTTCTATTAGATGTTTTCTGTTGATATTGGCATTGCTTTCTATGTTCAAATCTTTGTTCGCCCATAATATGCTATTTTGCAATTGATCTGTGGCACTAAGATTCGCTCCGTTAATGTTATTCCATGCAATGCACGTTTCCTCCCAAAAAGTATTCTTTACCGTGTTTTTTATGTACTTTGCATTTGTATTGCAATGAAACAGCGCTATGTCGTCATTTAGAAAAAACATTGGGGTCACCAGGCCTTTCCACTTAGCATCGTGGCTTTTATCTAGGAGTCTTTTTATCCAGGTAACCTTTAAACTCTGTGCCTGAAGTGCTAAGTCTGGCACCTTTAGACCGCCACCTTTATATTTACTTTTTAATGTCATACGTTTGACTTTATCTTTCTTTCCGCCCCATATGAATTTGAACATGAGCTTTTCTACTTCTTTTATAAATGGTTTTGGAGGAGCTGGAAGCACTGTCATAACATAAACCAGCTGAGATATCAATTCGGTTTTCAAAAGGTGAACGCGCCCGTATGGAGTAAGACCGCGACCTATCCATGGCGCTAGTTTATCCTTCATTATGACAAATTTCTCATTATAATTTATTTCTGAAATGTTAATATTCGGGTTGTTAGATACCTTCACGCCCAATAAATTAACCCATTAGTGCCCAACTTATTTTTAGTCAAAATTTCAAACTTTTTTGCACAAAATACTAGCTTCTTTATCGAGTGTATTAGCTTAGGATGATTTTCTTGTTTTTTATCCCCCCCAATTTGTCGCCAGGGGGGTCAATAAATATATGGCTATGGGCACCTGGGTAGTCGAAATATTGCCACAAAGCGCAATTCAAAAGAAACTTTTGAGAACCAATGTATATTCTTAGATGTGTATGCTGATAGGCACTTGCCACTACCAACATGTGAACATATTATGAGATCAGGCGAATGATCGTGATGATTGATAGTGTCAGCGGTCAACAATCAATTACGATGATGAGTCAATGCACTACCTGACTCACAAACATCGAAGTGCATTGGACAGTGACACAGCTTACAGCAAACGCTGAAAACAAAACATCCCTCCGGGATCTAGACGGCGCTTGCAAACTTTCACCCATCTCACCGTATCCAACAGTGTTGGCCCAACTAGCCCAAATTTCCCCATGGTGTACAGCATGTTCTTACTCTCAGGTCGCATGGAACGGCACGAAGCACGCCACGCACAGCGGCACCTGGCACTTGCGACAGGCGGTCTTCGGGTGGCTCTTGCACTTTCCCTCCTTGTTTGCACACGTTCCCTGCTTGGCAAGAGGAACGACCAGGTGGTTGATACCATCGTAGCGGATGCTGGCTGGGACGCGATGCTGACTCGACGCGGAACTTGGACGTCCAGATGGTGGCTTCGTCGTCTCTGCCAGGTGATACCGGACGATGGCTCGGATGAAGTTGATCTGATTCTCGCCTGGATGATGCTGACGGTAGAGCAGCCAGGCGTTCTGCATCGCGGCCCCCAGAAGCCAGCAGAAGATGCACCACCAGAACTTCTTCTGTCGGATCGCGATGCGGTACGCGCCGATGTTCTGGTCCATGCGGTCGGTACCGCCCATGGCGCAGTTGTAGTCCTGAATCATCTGTGGCTGAGCTACCTTGATCCTCTTCTTCTCTCGTCGCGACCATCTTTGAACTTCAGCCACAGTTCGGGACGAGCTTACCGTAGATGCTACGGTCACCACGCTGTTATCCTTCCACCTGACGAGGTTGATGCCCTGCTTCGTTTCCACGGCGACAGAGGTGTCTCCCCTGGGAGCCTTCTTCATCGCTGCCACCGAGCTCAGCGGACATCCTCGGAGGCGGTTCTGGCGGATGGTTCCCGTGTGCCCGATTCCCTCCTCCTTCAGCGCCATCATCAGAGGAAGGCTGGTGAAGAGGTTGTCCGTAAAGATGTGCAGTGCGTCCATGCGCATCTCCTTCGGCATTCTGTCTATGAGGATCTTCACTGCTGATCCACATTTCCCGAAGGCGGCCTCATAGTCTGGACGCTGAGCAGTTCCGCTGGCACCTTGGTACACTTCGAAGGTCAGTAGATACCCATCTGGGCTGTTAAGGCACCACGCCTTGAACCCAAACCGTATGGGCTTCCCTCTCAGGAACTGTTTGCACCCGTGACGGCCATAGTAGGGAATCATGCTCTCATCCACGTCCAGTTCTGTGGAAGATGGCGGTCTCTGAAAAGCTCGCAAGAACTTGTCTTGCATGCTGTTGAAGAGAGGTCGCAGCTTGGCCATCTTGTCACTGGGGTCGAGACGCTGGTTGTCAGCGAAGTGGAGGACCGAAAGGATGTCGTCAAAGCGGTTCCTCGAGATGATCCGGGAGACGAATTCCACGTGCAGGTCAGGGTCTGTCGACCAGAAGGCCCGGCGGTTCGGCACGTTGTGGTATCCCGAGAAGTACAGGATCGCCATGACAGCCTTCAGCTCGGCGATGGAGGGCTCCTGGACATTCTTCCCTCTCCACTGGATATATCGGCGTGTCTCCTGAAGGAGTTGCGCATAGAACTCGTCATCCAAGAAGAAGCTCAGTACTTCAACGGGTGTCTTGTTCGAAAAGTTCACCTGTGGGTATGGGCAAGCTTCCTCTCGCTCCTTCAGAAATGAAGCGACCTCTCGTTTGCCCCACCTGTGGCTGGTTGGGGCGACCGATTCAGCAGCTTCGTCGTCAGAACCGTCCTCTTGGCCGACGAGTTCAGCATCTGCTTGCAGCAGGTTGCGGTTGAGGTTGTCGATGGTACCGCCTCCGTCCTCGTCTCCCGAGTCGGCGTCGCTGTCCTCACGCACGTTAGGAGGACACAGGAAGACAGTGGCCGGACTCTCGCCACTCTCATCAACTTCATCCAGGAGATCAATCAGCTTTCCAAACCTGGAAAATGATAGCAGACTGCAACGCACATTTTCGACCACCCAAACGCCCATGGCCATAAATATATTGACCCGTACAGAAGAGCGTCATGCTGCGGCAAATCTTCAACGAGGCTATTTTATTCGTTTCAGGGGTCTTAAGGGCAGTTCAAAGAAACATGTCTGTGAAATTTATTGAATTAGAACAGCTAAATAACTAAATACACTCACCGGCGTTTTTTCGGCATGTTGACGTAGTTTCGCGACTGTCAAGCAGAACAGAGAAAATGGCGCAGCAGCAGCAACCGCACATCAAGTCCTTTAAAAATGCTTATTTATATATGGGGCGTATATACTTTCATGAAAAACACCCACACTTTTGAGGAAAAAATTCATAAATTTGCGAAATATATATATGGCTATGGGCACTAATGGGTTAATGGGTGTCGTTGGCCACTGGATATTAAATTGCGTGCAAATCGGCTTTCTTAAATGCCCGTTCCTACCCAACCATAGAGCTTGTGATTTATGCCGGTTCAATTTCAGCCCAGATGCTGTTTCGAAGTCCTCCAAGGTATCCATACATTTATTTAGAGATAGCTCAGATCCATCCATGATAATCGTTAAGTCGTCAGCGTAGCTAGATACTTTAACGTTTGCTCCGTTAATTGTCAGTCCTTTAATTGCATTTTCTTTACGAATTCTCTCTAGAAGTGGTTCAAAGCATATGATGAATAAGAGACAACTCAAAGGGCATCCCTGTCTAAGGCCTCGCTCAATTTTATACGGGCTTGACAATTTACCGTTTATTTGCACATTTGCCTGACATGATGTATCCTGCCCACCATTGTAAATAATATCAATCCATCTACAAAAGTCTCTTCCAAACCCAAATCGTTTCAATGTCTTTTTCATGTAAGACCAATCAACGCTATCGTAAGCCTTTTCTTGGTCACATGCTAGTAGGATTGCAGGAATATTTTTGTTTTTACATGCCTGCATGACGTCAAGTATTAATCGAATGTTTTCACCTATGTATCTCCCTTTCAGGAATCCAGTCTGATCTACATTTATTATGTTCGGTGCAGCATTAGCTAGTCTTGTGGCTAGCAGCTTTGTTATGATTTTGTAAAATGTATTCAGGAGACTAATAGGCCTTAAGTTTTCGATTCTTCTTGGATCTTTGTTCTTTTTGGGTATCAAAACTGTGACACTCTTCTTAAGATTTGACGGCATTACTCCGGAACTAAAAATTTCTTTACATGTAGCGAATACTAATGTTTTCAGCTCTGACCAAAATACTTTGTAAAATTCTCCAGTGTAACCTGATGGCCCAGGAGAGGTATTATTTTTTAATGAAAAAACTGTTCGGGTCAGCTCTTCCATCGTAATGTCTGCATCGCATGTTTGTCTATCATGTTGTGTTACTTGACTTAACCCTTCTGTAAAGTCAATTCGTGACTCATTCCTAATACGGCGTTCAAATAGCGTTTCGAAGTACCTTTTTCCTTCCTCCAACATTTCCTCGGTTTTGTTAGTAATGGTACTCTGGTTGCCCTCATTTATATACATTTCTCTCGTAATGTTTTTGGGGAAATTTCGCTTAGTTATTCCGTGGAAATATTTTGAACCCTTCTCTGCGAATGCCCTCCAGCGCACTTTATTCCAATATATTCCTTTTTCTGTTTGATCAGAAATAATTTCATCTCTCTTCCTTCGCAGTTCGTCACACTCGCCATTCAACGCATTATCACCTTGCTTTTCATTTATTTTTATTTCAATTTCTTTGAGTTCGTTCAAACAAATACGTTTCTTGGTTGCAACGTACTTTATGATTTCTCCCCTTAAAACACAAAGCGTCGTCTCCAACAATATTGTACTGGAGGAGGCACTTTGTTCGTTTGAACTAATTACTTCAGGTATTCTGTTTTGGATCAATGATACAAATTGATCGTCTTTCAAAAGATCATTATTAAATTTCCAATATCCTTTTCCTACGTCAACATTGGAAATATTTATCGACAAAGTAATTAACTTGTGATCTGTTAGGTATCCGTCTACAATCTTTGCGCTTGGCCTCTTTTCAGTGTACATTAAAGTTTCGCTCACGAGGAAAAAATCTATGCGTGATCTACTAGTCGGGTTATTTCGGATAAAGGTGTACTCCTCCTTTACTGGATTGATTTCACGCCAAATATCGATTAAGTTCTTTTCAGACATCAGGCTTAGGATGACTTCTTTGTTTCTATTATTATTTGCTACAATCCTTGCTGAACTTCGTCTATCTTTTCCCAAGTCGAAGCAGAAATTAAAGTCACCTCCTACAACAATGGTGCTATCGTCGTAATCATTTAGTTTCGCGCAAAAATCTTCTAGCATGCTTGGGTTATCGTGATTTGGCGCATAAACGTTCCCTATCGTCATCCTAGCACCATTGAATTCGGCGTTGAGGATAATGTAGCGACCATTATCGTCACTAAAAACATTGCTAAAAACGATGCCAGAGTTTGGTCGTGCTAGTATTCCCACGCCTCTGCTGTTTTTCTCTCCATGAGCGAAATATCCACTGCCTCCCCATTGATTTAACCACATCTGGGCGTCTGATTCTGATGAATGCGTTTCTTGAAGAAGAATAATATCTATTGCTTTCTGTTTAAACCAGGTAAAAAATTTACGCCGTTTTGGCATTTTTCGTTGAGCGCAGCCTCGTAGCCCGTTTACGTTGAGTGACGCTATTTTAAGCTTAGGAGACACAAACATTTCCTAAATTTAGCATTCCACGGTCTGCAAGCGCATCGTTGCTCCATTCGTGAAATTCATAGATGGAGTGCAATGTAATACTATTTCGATAATATTTTGAGTTTTGACCCGTAATGCTCCCGCAGAACCCTCCCATCCCCCCTCCCACTGGACGCAGCGTGCGCACGCTGTGCCAACGAGCCGGCACCGATCGCCCGCAGCCGCACCGCCGGCCGGCCGCCAGATGGCGTTTTTTTTCGCGTGAAAAAAAATCAGCATACGCATTATTTAAACGTAGGCAAGCTAACGTTACATCTCACTTTACGAAAAAGAAACGCAAAATGTAATGCTAGGAGGGGGGTGGAACACGCCCTCCACCCTCTGACTCGGCTCCTGGACCACGTAGCGACTAGCGACACGCGGTAGGCGCCGACCCCCACCAAACACGATTTGGCAGCACTGTAATGGCGTCTGCTGGGCGTGAAGTTTTCCCTTCACCATAGGGTTTACACACAAACTGGTCAAAGTTTGAGCCAGGATATACTAGTCTAAAAATGCAAAAAACGAACAAATTTTGGCATCAATAGATTCAGCATTTCATCGTGTGCCTCAAACCGTCCATCATTTGGCCTCAAAGGAGGTAAAAATTGTTCAAAATCGAAGTTGAAAAGGTGCTTTCTGAGCACATAATCTGGTAGCAATCACGTGACCTGCTATAAGCAGCTTATCGATAATTTACAAACATAATTATTAATATGCTGCTTTAACCCTCGCCGGCCGAGGGGGGGGGGGCGGGTGCCGCCCCCCCCCCATAGGGTTTTTTCGCGATAGCTCCGAACACGCTGGCAATAGAGAGCTGAAACTTGGCATACCTGACCTTTGATCCAAGCCGCATCTTTTGACACCAACCGCATTTTTGGGTCAGGTCAGGTCACTGACCTATGACGTCATAAGTGAACCTCTGCACGGTCTTCAGATGTCGCAACTTCGCAACACCCTCACTGCCAGAGGAGATGTCACAGGGAAATTAAACTTGCAGGATCTAGTATCCATTATGAGTCTCACAACTTGTATATCTCGGATTTTTCCTAAAGGTCATATGAGGTCAGGTTATTTTCGTGACCTCACCATTATAAGTCAATGGGGAAAAATTCAAACTGCTATTCTGGCGCCGGGAACGATCTCCAACTATCTCAAGCACACAGAATCGTGATTTGATGCACTCCTTGCAAGGTTAGATGCGTCACTTTTGCAATGTTGACCTTGCGTGACGTCATTTATGACGTCATCAAGGTCATATTAGTTTTTCGTCAATAACTCTTGATCAAATTGAGCTAGCGAGTCGGGAAAGCCACCAATGGACTCAGGAAGACCTGCCGAATCGAATGATATGCGACATGACCCCTTTCGACCAACTTCGTGACCTTAGGGTGCTGACCTGACCTTGACCTGAGGTCAACACCCCAAGTTGACCTGACCCGAACAAAAAGTATGTCATTCGACGCGCCTGAGCGAGGCGAACACGATGCTGCCAAAATCGCGGCTCTGCGGCCATTTTTTGCGAAGCTATTCACCAAAAACTGAACCGTACCTTGGGGCACGTGACCTGACCTCAGAGGTCACCGGTTGACCTAGGACCTTAAAATCGGGTACCAATCTCTGCGTCTCGTAACGGCGCACACGCTCGTTTTTTCCGCGACGCGCTAGCTCCACCAGGGGCGAAACGGCGAGGGGGGGGGGTCGTACCCGCCCCCCCCCCCCTCGGCCGGCGCGTATGTAGAAAACCAATAGGTCCGGCGAGGGTTAAACAACATTATAACGACTTTGCGCCGTTCACGCATGTTAAAAAAGTATGGTTAAATCTTGATAGCACGAGTAATTTTGGCAGCATCGGAGGACTGTCTCTAAACGCGCGCGTGATTTCAGTTTTTTAAGTAAAACGTCGGTATAACAGAAATTAATCCCGGGAATAATATTGTTAATCAGACTTTTTCTTTCCGTGGTGGAGCCCGAATGGTTTCACAAGAAGCTGCTCGCTGAAAAAAATAAATATTGGCCTGCATTGAGATTGAAGGCAACACAGGCACCGAAGGCAACACAGAGCTAAATCAAATTCAGAGAGAGCTTTGAGACGCCTTTTTTAATCTCATAGGCCCACTGCTTTGTCCGATCACTCAAAGGTGATGCTCATTAATGCAGAAAATGGATACGAATGGTACATACAGACAGCGAGAAAAAACTGCAGTTTGCTCTCCCAAGAACTGGCGAATAGAGAAGCAGAAGGTGTTCCAACCAACACAAGGAAGACCCAGAATGGGCTGTAGCCACTTGAGATAGGCGCAGCGCAGGCCAAGTGTCTGGTAGGTATACCCAGGCAAACATGATACAGAGATGATGGAATAGACCAGAGCTTGTAAATACGCGTTTTCAGTATACGGTTCTCACAGAAGGCGGCCCTGGCTGCATAAGTTCTTTACAAGTACTGCAAGAGGGCCTGCATATGAATATAAGAGACTGAGCGAGACATTGTACAATCCACTTATACCACTATTGCATTTCCCAATTGGCGCTATTAATTTGATTAAACAGTACACACTTCGTTATTAACAAGTGTTTCCCCGAAAAGAAAACCAAGCCCCGTTTCTTTTCCCAATCCCTCAATGTAGCCCTTTTAAACAGACGGGCTGAGCGACGAACGGCGCAAAGTCGTTATAATAAATGTAATCGGACCGCCTCCTCGGTACACCAGGCATTATTCGGTGTGCCTTGCCAATTGGGTGTTTATATTTAATGCACTCGCAGGCTCGTGCATTAAATGCAAAAATAACACTCATTTCATTCGTGTTATTTTTGAAAATATTAACCTCACTTCGTTCGGTTAATATTTTAGGAAAAATAATGCCCTCACTCCGTTCGGGCATTATTTAAAACACCCTTGGCTAGGCACACCGAATAATACCTGGTATACCGAGGACGCGGTCCGATTAAATATATATTAATCATACATTTTGAGCTTTCAGTACTTTAAATAAGGTCAGAACATCGCAAAACACAAAAGTTAATACAATAGTCACGTGGGTGTCAGGAAATGTCACAGGTGCGTCAAATTTGTGACTGGGGCTTTACTTTCAAACATCGGATCTACCTGTTTCTTATAGGTATCTTGGTAGGCGCCGGAGAAAGAACGTAAAAGATACGTAATGGCGAAATTACTATAGACACTTTTTAGGTCAGGTCAAAGCCAAAGGTCAGGACACCAGATGTCATCGAAGCTAGGTCAAACTTTCCCATTTTCAAGTCAAATTTCGACAATTTTCAACCAACTTTCCGCCCGCGCATACCCAACTCAGAAACTCGATATTAGCGCCCACGTAGCGCTAAGCGCCCCACAACTTTCTTTTAAATATTTCCAAAAAAAGGTTGTGATCGTGGTAAAAATGCCCCACCACGGTACGAGCAAATCAGTTACATGCACTTGTCTGAAAATCAACCAGAGTCCAAAGATTCGCACATAGAGACAACATAAATAAGCGAATCATGATCAGAGCTTCGGAAGGCGCTGATACTAACCATACATTCGTATTGTATATTCACCAGCACGACCCTACTGAAAGCAAACCGTTTCAGCCTTGCCACCTTCTTCCCCGTTGAGATTCACAGCTGGAGGTCGCCGCCCCCGCTCAGTCCGAAGAAGGTGGCCAGCGGCACGCGCAGCGTTTCGCTCATGGGTCGCGGCGGCGGCTTGTTGGGGTTGCTGGAGGGGATGTGGAGCGCCACGCAGCGCAGCAGCAGCGCGCAGACGACAGCCAGCAGCAGAGCCACCACGGTGGCCAGCCACCAGCGGCCGGCGCTGGTGGCTGTCAGCGGCAGCGTGCCGCCGCCGGCCAGCAGCAGCGCCTCCAGCCGGGCCAGCGGACCCGCCGCCTCCAGCGGACGGCACCGCAGCAGCGAGTCGCACGCGCCCCGGTCGCCGTCGCACGGGTCGCCGGCCTCCAGGAGCCAGGGGTTGCGCGGTCGGCACGGAGCGCCGCTGTGCGCGTGGCAGCCGACCACGCAGAGCTGGCTGCGGTCGCCGCCGACGTCTGCCTCAGTCAGCTGGCAGGGCAGCAGCCCGTCGCGCAGGCACGAGGAGCCCGTGCAGCGGCCCTTGACGCACACCCGCGAGCCGGCGCCGCACGGCGTCAGCTCGGCCATATTCGTCGACGGCGGACACTGCAGCGAGCGGCCGTCACAGAGGGCCGGCAGCGTGCACTCGGTGCCCGCGCGGCACGTGTGGTTGGCCTCCGCCGGCACGGTGGCACACGCCACCGGGTCGCAGCACGGCCCCTGGCTGGGACTGCAGACGGCGCCCGGCTGGTACTGGCAGCGGGCCTTCTTGGGCGACCCGGCGGCGGCCGGCGGGTGACGAGGCCAGCAGCACCGGTCGCGACAGTCGTGCGCCGTGAACCCGCAGTCACACTGCTCGCCCGTCTCCACGACGCCGTTACCGCAGAACGCCGAGCCTTTCACCGCGAAGCAGTTGAAGTAGAGTCCGTCCGTGATGTAGTCGAGAACGCGGGATATGTTGCCGACGCTGCAGTTGGAGAACTGCAGGTGACGCGGCAGATGGCCATCCTGCGAGAGGTAGAACATGATGAAGTTGCCTTTTGCGTCGTTCGGCAGGCACTGACTGCCGAGCGCGCCCTGGTCGTGCGGCGAGCCCATCGTGTGGCCGATCTCGTGGGCCAGAGTCAGCTGCGACTGCAGGGGGTGCACCGGCCGCCCAAAGTTCAGCAGCGTTATCATGGCCGTGTTCAGAGAGCGCCACTTGCGCTCTATCACACCCGTCTCCCAGTTGTAGAAGGCCTGCGCGGCGTGTCGCGCGCACACGCCGCGGCCAGCACCCTCCCACGGCGCGCCAATCCACGCCAGACCAATCGTGCCCTGCTCAAAGTCGTGGTAGCTGATGGCGAACGCCAAGCAAAAGGAGTCAAAGTTGGTGTCGGAATGCGCCTCTAGGTAGGTCTGCGAGTTGGTGTGGTCGAAACAGAGCCGGTTGCGCACGCCCGAGTAGTTGGGTAGACACGTGTGGTCGTCGCTGACTACCAGCTTCTGGATCTGAAATTGGTACTCGTGGTGGTGGTGCCGGCCGTCGAATATCGCTTGTTTGAAAATCCGGTTGACGCCCTGAACGTGCGACCCGGCCAGCCACTGAAGAAACGTCTCTGTGCGGCGTAAACTACCGCGCTCATTGCGGAATATCTCTTGCCAGAGCTTGGGGTCCGTTTCAACGTACACGGAGCAGAGTGTGCGCGAGTGCGCCCCGTCGTGATGTTTGTTGTACACCTCGTCGGGCTCGGCGTCTTCATTATGGCCACTGCCGTGGTCGCCATCGTGATCGTCGATGCGTCTTTTCAGGCGACCGCGACCGGTGCTGCTCCGCCAGTGTTTCATCACGGAAGCGAGCGTCACGGTTTCCTGCCGCGGTTGTCTATCTTCTTCACTGGGTACTGTCGTCGCCTTGTGCTTGTCGCTGTCCCACACCAGCGGATCGTGCCCATCTCTGACGCCGCAAGGCCGGTCGCCCTCACGCGCGGGCGGTAGGAGCATATCCGACGCTCGGTACACGAACGAGTGACCGTGCGGGCCACCGTGCATGTGCAGCGACGTCCGCTCGACCACCAGCGTCTCGTTGGCCAGCTCGATCGTGCCGTCGAACACGCCATCCACGAGGCCGCCGAAGAGCGCCGAGCCGGGCTCGCCGAGCACCCAGCCGGTGAAGAGCGGCGTCAGAGAGTCGGTGCCGACCGTGGAGCCTGACGGGCCAGAGTAGACGATGTCCGGCGCCAGGGTGGACGTATCTGGTACCAGGCGGAGGGTGAGCACGCGGTCCCCAGTTGGCAGCTGGAGCTGCAGCGGCGGGGCCGTCGAGCGCCGGCCGCGACCGGCGGACAGCGGAGTGTAGTGGAGCATCTGGTGGTGCTGCACGTAGTCGGAGAGACCGCCCTCTGACGCTGCGCGTGCCGGGAGCAACAGTAGCATCGGCAGCAGCCGCGCCGCCAGACTGCCGAGTGAGCTGGCAGCTTTGGTGACGGAAAGACTCGCCAAGCTTGTCGGAGTCATTTGTCAGTCTTGGACAGCTTTGGGTGCACCAGCTTTACAAAAGACATCGCTCCAACAACTTGAAGCGTAAAATATGTCTAGGAAAAAGATCAGCAATGTGAAGCAATCCTTTAGTTGTAAACATAGGTATGTAAATTGTTTAATAAAATGACAAAACACGTAAAAAGGTAAAAAGGATCACGTATCTAACTTGAAAAGCATGGATTACAACAGTTTTGAAAGAAAAAAAGAACACAAAAATGTGGATTATTAGCAAAATGGTACTCCAACGAGAAGATCACCGCTTACAAGATTGATGCAGCCGGAGCCAAGATTTTGGTCGTTGGATGTGTACGGTAAGACACCAATCATTTAGTAGCCGTTACTCCTTTTCTCCAATAGTGGTTTGAAAAAAAAAAATATTCTAAACAATGCTTGTAATATTCCTGTAATCCGGCTAAACACCATCTGCACAACTTTGGTTTGTTTGTTCGACACTCTGAGGCATCATGCACGGTATTCAACAGGGAGCATTCGAAAACTGTCCCGACGTCTCAGTCCCGCGTAAAGGGACTCGACGCCCCGACCTTCGGTGGGTTGAGGAGGGGCGGGAGCACCGGCCTCCCTGGGGGAGACGCCCGCACCGCTCACGTGACTAGGAAACTCGAGTAGGGAGCGTCATTAGGGGACCAGCCCCAGTCGACATGGCACCAGGCCCGTTTGGCAGCTCTGTCCTGCTAAACTGAACTCATGTGTTCCACACTAGCGCAAAACCACACGTTTTCAACTTAGCGTAACAGAGACGCTGAAAGCGTACACACAGACACACGGAGGCAACCAGCAGCGTGGGTGATAACAACGCGTCAGAACAGCACCCGTGAAGCTCGCACTCCACCGCAACAACAGCAAGGCACACTGGGTGGCAGTGAAGGGGAGGGGCGGCAGCCCGCCGCCGGGTCTGGAGATTCCTCGGGGCCGCTAGTTAGACCCACTGGGCCTCACTGGGTCTTTTTAGTACCGCGAGCCTTCCAAGCCGACAGAAGCCGGCCGCTGAAGAAGAGAGCGAACCCGTGGACTTGCAGTACGGGCAGCAGGAAGGCCAGGTTGATGATGCTGTACGGAAGACCCTGCCGACACAGATGGGCGCGTGACAGAGACGGAGGAGCTAGCTGTCACTATAGACCACGCGACAGTTAGCTGACGAAATGTGGTGCACCAACCTGGTGCACCAAATGCATATAATCATGGCATGGCGAGGCACCAGCATCGCTTCACTTAAGGATTCACTGAATATCAATTCCCAGGCAAACGGAGTAAGTTTCTCGATAACGTCACCAGTTGAAACATCCGTCTAAAAACGCAACAGGCTAGCATGTGCCCATTTATGTACTCGGAGGAGGGAGTCTTCCGATCCTGCTTCATATTGCATAATACAATCAAAACTTTCTAAACGCCTATCATTTATGGACACGAAAAATCAAAGAAACTAACGCGCCCTGATATTTCAAACATAATGTTTCTGAATAGGCATTAAACGCAAGTCCCGAACCCCTATCACAATAACGATTTTAGCGAAAGGAAACGAGACCACATCAATTATACGTTTCCTAGGGTTCATTTTGGGCAAGTTGCGATGGCTATGTATATGTTGACCATCGAGACTCGTCTGATGTTGAGCACATTTAGGATATTGGCGATTCAGGTTCCTGTGAAAGCCTCATTTGCGGAAAAGGCATATGGTATTTATTGTCAACAGCTTAAACTTCAAAACCCGAGACATTAATCACTTTAACGATCTTTCAATTAGCATAACAGCCCTTGATCTAAGATAAAGGTACTGATACGTCTGCTAAAAATATCCGCATTACATCACCGCGAGCTAAACAGGCGACTGGATAATTAGTGTCCGAAAAACTGGTACACATAGTCTGCAAACTTGTTTGGCGCGTCACTACCCTCGTCAGTCTCTTCCGCCGCCGATCGTCCATTCCACACCCTTCTCCACAGTCAGGCCACCATGACCTGATGGAGGCCGCGCTGCTCGTGATTGACTCACCTGCCACATAGGGACATCAGCCGCCTCCTCGGGTGTCTCAGCTGACACGAACCGGTACGCGTCGGGCAGGTAGTAGCAGAGCGCACCCAGCGCCGGCCCCAGGCCCAGCGTGGCAATACCTCCTGTCGGAGAGGGGCCGGGTCGGGGCGGGGGAGTGTCTCAGTGGCACAGAGGGGCCGGGTCAGAGCGGGTGAGTGTCTCAGTGACACAGAGGGACCGGGACAGGTGCCGGGTCAGGCCGGACCTGGCCTCTGTGCCAGCAGCGTGCCAGACGGTCCTCGGACGACCGACGGGGGGGGGGGGGGCGACCAGCCGCGCATGTAAATCTCTCCGGAGCCGAGGAATGACATGGGGACGTCCCGCGATGGATTGCGTCAGTCCAGTTCATACATAATGAACGGTGCAAAAGTGTCGCCTGGAAGTTGTCCGGAGACGGAAGTTTTGTTAGCATGCATATGCAGAAATAGCTGCAACAGAACGCAGATACATAGGGAATCCCGGTGAAATTGTCGCAGTGCTTAGACTCAGCATACAGGATGACACAACTGGCCCACTATTTTGTCATTGCTTTTATTTTTGTATGCGGAACACAAAACAGTGCTCCTCGCGTACTATCGACAGGAAAGTTTCTCATACAAAGTGCATGGCGAGGCGAACACAATATAACAATATTAATACACAAAATTAATGTTATACCTAATACCTATAACATTATTCAACATAATGCAAAATAACTTCAACACATATCCGCGTAACTCCGTAGATTTCCAACTAGGCTCGCATTTGTAGTCGCAGAATATTCTGCAGTCACAGATCGCAGGCATCTCTGCGCCTGATAAGATCCGTATGTCCGACGACCCCGTGCATTGACCGGCGCGGCGCGGGACGTTTGTAGCCAAGGCACTTCCTTACCGGTGGCCGCCACACCGTTACCGACACTGATCCGCACTTAGGTGACGGCCAGATGACGGGGCAGCGGCTAATCCCTTATCCGACCACAAAGGCGTTACAAGCCCTGCACAAACCGAGCCGACTGATAATCGTGGAATGGCAGCTGCCACAAAGCAGCCGACAGTAAAACGTTTTGTTCCACCGCGGTTTTCAAGGTTGCTGAGGTCACTCGGGCAAGTTCTGTGTAGCCTATGCATTAGCGTCGCCATAGGGGGCAAGCGGTGCAGCTTGCCCCTCCACGTCAATCTCCGACCGATTGATACAGATCCAATGAGATTTTGGGGTTTGAAAAATAGTAGGATAGTTTTCTAAGAACGTTTGTGATGTCGGTACCGATCGGACTCGACGGTTCTAGCCCGAGTCGAGTCGGAGTCGCCAACAGCTTCAAGACGCCGAATCCGGACTCGAAAATTATTGTCACTGCTTTGCCTCAGCGAATGTTGCTTATTCGTAGCCGATATTGGTGTGAAATGGCCTGTTTGACGCAGGCCCCTATTCATGGCCGAATCGTTGTGAAGTGCATCTTTCACCTTCACTTTCAAACAGAATCGCTATATTATTGCCTAGAATAGTATAGAAGTGTGATGAAAAATGGCGTAGCAGAACATATCTCTCTTGTCCATGGTATCCTTGAAAACAATTACCACGTCCAGAACGGACAAAGAGAAACATCACAGCCATTGCTACCAACCAAACCCCTTTCAACCACAGCAAAACAATATTTGATATCGGTTTCCAAGCACACCTTACCGGTCCCCAGTTCGCTAAAAATGACGATTAAGTGAGCAGACGAAGGTGCCTAGATACGGGAAAACCACTCCTGCACCATATCTCGGCCCCGTAACATGCCCGCCCACTGTCATGTCGAACTGGGTGCGGGCGGATGCAGACGGGTGGCAGACGCCGGGTAGACCGTTATGTTGGAACGCGAGGCGAACGAACGCTGCTTGGTTGGTGGAAAGGCGTGCTGCCAGAGATGGATTATGGGAAATCCAAAGTGCGAAGCAATCGCAAAGTCGGTTTTCTCGGAAGGTATTCTGCATTAGGGATGATATTTGTGAAAAGTACAAAGCCGAAGAAGTACTTACCTATGTAGATCTGTAGATAAAAAACACTATTTGTCTTGCAAGCAGAAAGTGCACACAAAGAATATAAAACGCTGAAGCTCCATATGTACTCCCATTTGACAGGCTGGAAGAAACAAAAATATCAGTCAATCGTCCTAAAAAACAGCAAAATGAAATAAACAAAATGAGACAGTTTCCAGAGAAGGCCGAAGGGGATTCATTTACCTTTGGATATAGAACATCGAAAGCGATTGCAAAAGGAGTCGTTTTATGATTTCTTCCACCATTCGATTTTCAAGTGTCGTTTAACTATATACATAGTATATACAGACCCCCAGTCCATAAGAGCTACTTCAGTTGTAGTTACTTCAGATACAGCAATAACAAAGAAAAACATCAATGCATCGGAACTACTTACCGGAGGAATCTCGAGTTCCTCGATCTCCAAAATGAAAATGTCTAGCTTATCCAGAATATCTGATGACAGTTTGAGTATCATTATGAGAAACAACAAAAAATGCATTGCCACACAGAATTTGAGCCTCCATTTTGTCCGGGCACTGGAACAAATAGAAATGGGAATGTCAGTATCTAAATTTTAATGTGAAACAGTCAGGACCTATGCAGCTGTACCTCTACCTTTACAATCAAGAACTAAAACCATTATCATAAGATCTATGTTCCCTCTCTATTTCTATCATGAACAGGCACACACACTGGGCACCAATTTCGCAATGTTATGTGGAAGTTATGTGTATTTATGGAGCTCAGGTTATTGTCAGTGCTCTTTGCGCACCAAATCTTGTTTTTGTGCATCACATAGCCAGATCCATGGGCGTCGAAAGCGGGGGGGGGGCACGGGGGGGAGGACGCGTCCCCCGTCGAGGGATCTGGGGGGACGTCCCCACCAAAAAAAAAATCACTCATGAATGTTTTAAAAAGCTGCCAATTAACGGTAATTCACAATGGAGCTAAGTAAACAGAAATAAAGATTCTTTAAAAGAATGCTGAATGCTGATGCTCGTCAGTTCGACAGTACACAAATAAGATCTCAGGTACTTCAGCAGCTTATGAAATTCGGACTGGTCAGAGACCGGTAGGCAGGGGCGGCGCCACAGGGGAGGGGACGGAGGGACTTATCCTCCCAGTCCACGGCGTGGAGGGTTATCCCCTCCTATTTTGTTTATTGCTTTCGGTCTAATGCTTCTAAATGCCTTTTTCAAATCCAAACACATAATAGGAACTCCGTGAAGCCAAAAATTTACCCTACACTGACAAGCAACTTCACCTGAATATGACTGCTATGATGAGCGGCACCGGTGCATTAGACAATTTGTGGCATAGACCTTAATCGGTGAGAGGCCCTAAATTCCAAAAATTTGTCGAAGACTTGTCGAAAATTTGTCGAAAAGTAGACTGATGTTTTGTAGCTGACCCTGATCTGTCGTTTAGCTTGTTTTTGGGTAGATGGGTGACGTTTGTTGTCCATGACATGGCAGCCACCAGCTTGACGACTGGTGCATGCTCCGTTTTGGTCACGCCCAGGCTTGTCGATCAGGTTATCTCTTGCTCTCTCTGGCTTCGCTCGCTGATATAGCTGCGCTTTGCACACTCCTACCTGTTTGCAGGTGAGCTGCTGGAGCTCTCCAGCAAGAACTATGCCGAAAGTCTGTTTACGAAGTTGAGAACGATACTTGATTCACCATGATTGCCTTTTGGCAACTAAGGCTAAAAACGGAAAGGGTCTACTCTTTGCTGACTCTGGATAATAATTGACTCGAGTCGTGACCGGTCACCAAAAACAAATTGTCTCCAAGCTCAATTGGTAAAGGATGTCTTATAAAAGTAGGTATAATGTTCGTAGGTATCTAATTAGAATCGAGCGCAATCGTACTTTTAGCCAGAAAATCTCCGCCTGGTCCTCCCCTTGGCCTAGTGGATAAGGCGTCCGTCTCCTAACTCGGTGGCAGCGAGTTGGTGGCCGGGAAGCTCCTCGTCGTTTGACCCGCGTTCCTATATTAAGCCAGCTGGCAACTGGCGAGAGGGCCACGCTAGACCCGGGATGACCCGGGATGGCGGCACGGGAGGACCGTGCCGCCATCTACCTGCGGCACGTTAAACTTTCGATCCAAATTATCACCGGTGAGCCGGGCGCGGGCAAGGCAGGGTGGCGGGTCCCTGGTACCTATCATTCGCTACAAGCACTGCTTAGCGGGGCACCCGGACCCATGGCAACCCATTCATCCTTTCGGACAAAATTTCTTTTTAAAAATGTTCGGTCAATTCTGGGGCACCCTGTAGAATCTTCGTCATCCGAGAGACTCCGAACGCAGGGTGAGTTTCATATCAGCTGATTCGTATCATGGTACCAAGCACATCTGAAGTGTTTTCATCGCTCTAGCACGCCTCTATCAAAAGCTATTGGCGAAGAACTGTTGCAAAGCCTTTGTGACCTGAGATGACTTCACGGACATAAGCAGGGGTCACAGGTGCCATTTTTTTATTCAGTTGTCATGTTTTCTTGTACATTGGTGCCTGAAATTGTTTAGAATGATGTTCAGCCAAAAAGGCACTTCAATTTTCATTTTTCTCCCAATTGCAATGTCTTAACACGCGCAGTGGAAGGGTTGCGAGTACTACGCCCAGTGGAAGGGGGGGGGGGCGGATGTCGCCCCCCCCCTAAGATCTCAGCTCCCACTGGAGCTAGAAAGACGAAATTTGGAGGGTAGGTGGGGGCCATAGGGAACTCTGTTGTATGTGAATTTCATGACCCTAGGTCAATATCTTCAAGGTCAAATGAGGTCAAATGTGGTCAAATCTGCCATATTAGCGACTTTTTTGCGTTTACACGCCGATAACTCAAAGAGTTACCGGCCGATTTTTTTTAATCTTTCACTTTACGAAAGAGCAAACATTTGTGAGTATGTATGGTGAATTTCTAGATAATCCAACAATAAATATGGCAGTTAGAAGCCGGCTAAGGGTAAGATGTCGCCGGCTGAAGCGGGATCGGCGGACGCGGGAAACGCGGCAATCACAATTTTGTGTTTACACACTCATAACTCAAGTTGTTACCGGCCGATTTTCAAAATTCTTTGACCATATGATTGCCCGTACATGTATCAGTCTTCTCACCGAATTTGATGCGAATCTAATATAATCAGCGGTAAGGAGCGCGATGTAAAGACGGAACCGTCCCGCCCCGGCACAGTCTACAATGCAGGCGGCGCCTAACGGCTAGCGCCGGCCGCCGCGCCGCCGCGCCGCCGCGGCGGCAGGATGTTTGACTTTACACCGCTATTACTAGAAAAGTTGTGAGCCGATTTTCTTACTTCTTGCACGAGAAGATCCGCAGTTAAATTCTGGACAGGTAGCCGAAATTTCACATTGATATTATGCTTGCAGCGCGAGTTATTGGCGAAAAACAGGAGGGGTGGGCGAAATCCGCCCCCCCTTCCACTGCGCGTGTTAAAATGGAGGTTGCAAAACTGACCTGACCTCAGGTCACATATCCAAATTATGTGCTAGACATTTTATACTGTTGCCCTTATCAATTGCTGACAACATCAAAGTGTGACCCATCACTCAGTGTAGCTATGACAAGCATTGGAACTTTTTCTGAGGTGAGGTCATCTTGTTTGAAAGACCTTGGTATGATATTATGGTAAATATTTACAATAATAAGTCTTATTCCCTTTTCAAGCATGAATATTGCAGATCCTTACATATTTGATATCCTGAATCCAAAATGAAATGTGTTGCACAAATGTAAGAAAAAACAGCCTAACAAGTAACCTGACCTCGCCCTACCAACTTACTTGCACCTACCTGCAACCTACCAACCTATAACCTACCAACAACCTACCAGCTTTCAACCTACAACCTACCAAGGCTCTAAAAACTCAACTTGCAACCAGTGGCGGCGGATTCGATTTTGGTGTGGGGGGGGGCAAGATCCCAGTCGAGATGATGTCATAGGCGGATCCAGAAAGGCGTTTTCGACGCTGTAGGGGACATACCACCCCCCCCAAAAAAGTGTCCAAAATCCAAAAACTCCTCGGATTTCGATTCCTTACGGATCTAATGCTGAACAGTATAAAGCAAAAAAAAAATCCTGATAAAAGTGTTATTATTAGGAAATATAAGGTACGTTTTGTCTATTTCGGGCGATGCAGGGGCCAGGGGAGGGAGAGTAAATAGTTACTTTAAATGCCCGCTCCCTGGATCCGCCAGTGGACGATGTAACGCTTTTCGTATTGCTGTATTAGAAAAAAGCTCCAATGGGAAAAGTTGTGCCATAATCCCGATCGCATACATAGGTATTAGATGTTGAAGAACGGTTCTAAGCCTTTTAAAGTAGGCGAGCGCTATTCTTCAATGGGGTAACTCGTTACCATTTCCTCTGTTCATTTTACGTTCGATTTCCGTTTAACCTTCCTTTAAAAAGTATTTCTGAGACAGATATCAACTGAAACTAGCTCACAGCGGGAGGAGACCGCTCAAACATTCCGAGACAGTCGGTCGCACCTAAACCTATTGGGACAGCGATCCGCCAGAAACCCTCCCCAAGGCAGTAGTTCGCCAACTAAGCTCACCGAGACGGGCTGTCTCGATGGGTTTACACAGTTAGCCTACAGCAAGGCTTAGCTAAGGCCCAAACGCTCGTCAAGCTGGGAACGGAGGGCTGAGGTGAGGGAGCGTGGCGGTGGGCTGGGGTGAAGGAACGGTGGACTGGAACGAGAATCCAGAAGCTCTGGGTAGGGCGTTTCTTTATTAAGGCTTTAGGGTGCGCTGACTGCGGTAAGGTCCAAATTATCACACCAAATTTTGCCACGACATCTACCGGTTCAGGCACTCGAGAATCAGCGGCCAGTGATATCTGCAAAGACGAAGCATTTCCAACCCAGCTTCAGCCTGGTGTCAGGGTGCCTCAGGAGTCAGGTGGCTTTAATAGGGTTGGGACCTATCTGCATGCTCTGTGTGTTTTGGTAAAATAAAAAAGCTCAGAATTTTTAATGATTTAATTTAAAATCACTTTGTTAAAAAAATGCCTAGTTAGTTCAGAAATTAATTATTTGTGGCTGAAAACAACTTGCTTCTGATTGGTCGGGCTAATCATGACGTCACATGTAGGTATATAACTGTCTGTATATTTGGCGCAGTTGAGACATACATTTTCTATGTATTTTCCTATGGTAAATCGGAGTGATTGGTTGTGTTTTCAGTGTCTCTTTATTTTGCGCTGGTATTGCGTGGCTAAGAAGTTTTATCAAGAATGGCATATACTAAAATGTTCCTTTAATAATGGAGCTTCAATATCTGTGAGTTTTATTGGCAAGCGAAAACTGATTTCGCTGTTATTTTATCTGGAAATTACTCATTTTTTAGGTCAATATTCAAAATATTTTACGGGAACAAGTTGGCACTTTTCTTGATTTTTGCACTCAAATCGCGTGCGATTCAACTGTATTGGGACTTACAAAGAAGCTTGGTGATTAATTAACTGCGTTGTTATGGCACTGTTTGCAAAGCATGGATAATGAAACTCTGCCAAAACTTAGCTACATAGCAATGCCTCAAGTAATACGCAGGAGGGACAGAATTCAGAGTCCGATCGAGAAGAATCGGTGCAAATGCTACGAGGACCAGGCAGCTCTGATACAATAGCTAGTCGTCTCACTACTCTCACTCCATTAGACCAGCTGATTCCTGACAGCACCGACTCGGATGCAAAGATGGAGCTCATCTTCCAAGCCAGAAACCAGTTCTTTGATGGAAGATGTGATGCTGCCTCTGTCTCTGCTTTGTTGGCCACTTTGGACGGGGCGGAGCTCCGCTCCTTGCGTGAGCGGTTATTCGCCTGTCATCCAGAAATCGTTCCTTCGTTTGCTGGCCGTTCCCTGATTAGGTGCAATACGGGGAGCTGTAATCAGGGAAGTAACTTTCCATATGAAAGGGGTGCAGGTGCACCCCCGTCCCCCATCCACTAGAAGTGCACCCCCATAGGCTAAGCGGCGCCCCACACGCCGCCCCACACGATTAGCTCTAGAGCAGATGGCGAGGGTGATTTCTCGGCTACATTCCATCTCGGCGTCGTGATGCTTGTGGGCTTGGAAAGCGTCCAGTCGTATGTAGGGTAGTGTAGGGGTAGGGTTGAGTTCAATAAGGTCCTTACATTTGAAAGGTTTGAACAACCCGCAATCAGCACAACATACCACAAGTTAAATAAAAAACTACCAAACTCCGCCCAACTAATATTAATAAACATTACAGCCAAACTAATGGCCTAAATAAAAATATATCTCAAATCCTAACAGTTATCGCGGGTGATGGCGCCATGAGTTGCTATTATCCAAAACAGGTGCAAATAAACATGTTTGTATGTCCTATGTATGTTTGTTTTAAAAACGTTGCAGCGGCGCTAGGAACTGCAGTCTTAGATCTGGGTATGTTTGGCATCTGCAACTCTTCATATACACATTAACCCTATTTCGGACGGGGAGACCTTTCAGGATTTTCTTGTATAATTGCCAAACGCCGCGAGACATTCAGCTCATATTTGTTGACTTTTCCTAAATGCTCATTGCGCACATCTCAGCAAAAAAAAAAAATGCCGGGTCAGGTCAGGTCAGGTAACCAGAGCGGGTTTGTTGACCCCACCTCAGAAAAGTTTGCAAACACGTCAGAGCTTGAGTTCTTCACGAAGTTATTTCCTCTCATCAAGTCTTCAAAACAGTACCTGCAGTATGTGTCGTTTGTATATCTCAGAATTTTTGATCTGTGACCTGAGGTTAGGTCAGAGTCGTGACCTTTACATTGCAAGCCTATGGAAAAGTATTGAAATGCGACCTGCACCTCGAGTAAACGAGTCAAAACCACCCAATTCTTTAAGAATTATGACAAATTATCTTATCTGTAATGATCCAGGTGCCATTTACTGACAGGGACACCGGAGAGGGTTATCTGAGCCGAGATCATGTGAGGTGATATCTACCATACATCAATGCTCACAACACTTACAATATTGACAATGCTTTTGCTTACAACACTTACAATACTTACGATGAGACCAGCAAGCACTCTGCCGTTACAGTTCTAACTTCTGTTTCGAAAAACGACGTTACACACATTCGCTGCCAGCATAACATGTATTGTTTGACAGTAACAAAATACAATTGACATCTGAACCCCAAACGGACCGCCATCCACTCAAATTTTATAACCCTGACCGGTCAGGGGGCGAATGGAGGTCATTTCCTGGGCATTACACTCAGCCCTTGCACAAAATATCTCACCTCACAGTGATCATTACAACAATAGCACCGACTTGATAGTGGATTTCAAAGTACTTGCATCAGCTCTTCCTGCTATTGCAGACGATCATCTCCTCACAGGGTAATGTTGTTCGGGACATGAACGAAGATCGTTTTCGGAGTTTCATAAGTGCTACTGCAACAGCCTGGCACAAAACAGGACTTGTACGCTGTTCTCTGCACTTTGCCCTTCAGTATATCACAAAAGAATTGTTTAGAATCCATCTTAAGCTTCTTTCACAGTCTCCCTTGCCACCGTAGGGCGTAGATAGATTGCTGTTGCTGGTAATTTAAGGCACGGTAGATAGAAATTACCTCGGTTCTCAACGCCTTAAGTTATTTTCATAAAAAAGAACAAATAAATGATCAATAAGATGACAGGAATGTAAACATTTTAATCGTAAAGTAGTCCAAATATTGGAATGAGCTTTTGCTTTTCAGCATCCTCCGATTCATCATCTTTATCATTTGAAAATTCGAGGTACATAAAATGTTTATCACGCGCTCATGTTAAGTGGGAATATAGTACACGGCAGACACATCAATTTTTGACACTGAACATTTCATCCGTAAATGTTTTAGCATAATTTAAAGTTAAAAACAGCGCGAATGGCAGAGTGAAGCAAACAACATCTTTCACCCATTAATCGCGTTCGCATAACATGTAATCTGTGGTGCGCCAGATGCGCCATTATTTGTCAACCGCAGAAGGTGACATGTGACGTAACAGCATCAAGAGCATCTTTTTTCAAGAACTTTTCAAAACAAGTTTCCTATCTTTCTTCCCCCATTTCTCTCAGCTTATTGATTTTATGAGGCAATGGTATGCACCATAAATTCTGTGAAAATAGTTTGATCATTTTCATGCATTCTTAAAAAATCGAGTTCCCAACCCCATTACAGTTGCACATATTAAACGACCTCAGTGCAGCCAGTCTGTGGCCGAAACCATTCGGAACAGACTTCAACAAAAAGTGAGACAAGGTTAGTGCTATCGTTAGGTAAGTGCCATAATAGACTTGGACCCCGTTGGCTTGACCCACTGGAAGGTGGTAGTTATCGGACGCTGCGGGGCATACTCATTTTTCCAAAATGCCTCAGATTCTGCTTTCGTGTTCATAGGCGGAGGAACGGGGAGGCCACCGGGGCACCGTGCCCCCTTTTGATTTTGGCATTTTAACGTTAGCCCTATGGGCGTTGCATGGAAAAAGTGGGACCAAAAGTCGGCAGTGCCCCCCCCCCCCCCTTAATTGAAGGTGTTCCGCCGCTACTGTTCGTGTTTGATGCTCTTTATTCTACATATAGTCAGCCTTTAGACAGAGGGGGCCAATGATCAGTGCCCTTACCCTGAAAAGTTTCCAACATTAATTTTTACTTTTTTAATAGTGAAAACTGAAATAAAGCGGATATTGAACTGTGAACATCCAGTTTTTACACTGGCCCCACACAAGCCTCCGAATGCCCAAAGCAGATCTCTGATGACTGGCCTTTGGGTGTCGTGCCATACCGTGCATTGGTCAATGTCGTCAATGTGTACGACCTCGGCGTTTACCATTTTATGCGCTGGAAACTGTTGCGCTCGAAAAATCAGGGGAGTGGCTTATTATGAGCGCTCATCAGTCCTAACTACCCGCAAGCGAATGGCTAGCCCTTCCGTCTCCGCTCGCTTGCGATTTGGCATTTATGTAGGTACAAAATAGACGCAAACGACCACTGAAGGTATGAGTTGCGTCTCTTGCACACATCTATAAATCGAATCTGAAAAGACAAAAAATAATGATATAAAGCGGAAATGGTTAGCATTTACACATATTCAAAAGGCACCGTTGGACAAACTGTAGGAGCGCATTGCTGCAATATCAGGTTATGTAAATTTTCCTCATGTTTAGGGCACAAATTATGGAGGGGCAAGAATATACGTTAGCCCCTCCTCCAAAAGTTTCTTAGGGAACGATGCCTCCTCTGCCGTCGCCCCTGTAAGCGGTCACTGAAGGCCTGGGTTGCCGCTGCGTCACGTTGACGCTTATAATGCCTCCAAAACTAGGTTGAAGAGAGAAAAACTTCAATTGAACGTGAACACTTACCATTTAAGAAAGGCAACGTATGATAAAGTATATGGGCATCTGGCAGCTGGCTACATCTTCAGATGATCGAACAGAATAATCAGGTATATGCTTTCTTGTCTAAGCTTTGTCACAAATTATGGGGGGGGGGGGCAAAAAGATACTTTTGCCCCCCCCACGAGTTTGCCAGGGGGGGCAGCTGCCCCCCCTGCCCCCGAATCCGCCGCCCCTGCTTGCAACCTGCAATTTCTGATATTGCACATTACTAGCAGCTACGCAACAATTGATGATCAGATCTTCTGTAAACTAATGCCAAAATCTTTGAAAACTTGTGCAAAAAAAGATGTATGCTAAGGCATGACACATACAGCAGCATGGAAAGCCGACATGCATCAATGATAGATTATCTGCATCTAAACAGGTAGGTACCTACCTAAAGTAGGTCAAGGTAGGTACCATCTTGAAGGAAGATAACCAAACAACTTAAGCTTAAACTACTATTGCTTGTGGGAATTTTCTTGGGACATCTGTGGAAATGTAGACTGCCAAGCCAAGGGACACAATCCCTGCAGACTCACCTGATCTGATACTGCCTTGCCACTCGCTGGCGATGGATGAAGTCTCGGCCATCAGTAGCTACGATGGGTGGGCCATTCAATGCTTCCATGTTGATCTCATTAATGTGAAATCAACCAATTATGTAAATACAATAAATCCCAAGATCCAAGTTCCACTCGCTTGCTCAGCAACTTTCAGATTGATAGGTACCGTAAAACGGGGCTATAAGGGACAGGTTTTGACTTTGACAACCTGTCATTCAAAGGTTATTGCTTACACAGGCTTCAAACTTTGTCACTTTTCAGGTCTTGACTAGGTCTGTCTTTTGGCATAATATGCATTTTATTGGTATCATAGATGTATAATTTTTTTTTTATTTTTGTTGCTTGTCCCTTATAGCCCCGCACCGGGGTTTTAAGGGACGAGCACTGTTATGGCCTTTTAAACTCTAGTAGCACCATCAAATGGGCTTTAAGGGACACAGACTATGTTTTTAAAAATGTTTACTGCTTTCCTGTGCAAAATATTTGTTTTTTAAGTGCACATACAATGGATTGGCATCCATCAAAGTTTCCAATGGAGGACGGAAAAGGTAACTTCCTTTTTCAACATAAATACCATAAAGGAAACTCAAATATGGAAACATAATAATGTGTTATTATCAAAACACAAATGATATGAGTACAACCACTTGATAATGAGGCATTCTCCTGCCATTCTGAACTCCAGAACACCATCCACCAGAAGACTGCAGAGAGTCTCTGGCAGCTCCTTGGAGCTGGAGGTGTTTGATATCAGCTCACTCATTGTATTCCTTGACCTCTTTGATTTCCATGATTCCCCTGGTGAGGTATTTGGGTTCTTGGATCTTTTGCACAATGTCTGAGAAGGGGTACACCACAGGACATCCTCTGTCCTCTCCAAGGAATGTGGGATGGCCCGGTTTTCAGGTAGCAGGTGCCTTATTGTGCCTACATGACACTTTTTGGGATCCCAAACTTCTGCTCAGCTACCCTGAAAGGCATCCCTCTGTTCACTGCATCCACAGCTTTCATGATTACATCTTTCGAATATGTTTTCCTTGTTTCAACTCCTCGCTTTGACTGGTAATGACGGTGTCCCTTAAAGCCCCGTTTTGACATCAAAATCTACCTGAAACAGAAAAAAGCGGAAATGAGGATGAGGCAAGGAGGGTACATGGATGTAATTTCATGGGCATCTTCAGGATACATGTGGTCATTGACTATACCTTTGTGAAGGTCCCAGAGTCCGTGGTTGTGTTTCCACAAGCAAAGTTTTCGGGGTTACAATTTTGTTGCGAATTTGGCACTTTTTTCAAAAGCTCATAGCATGAGAACAACAACAAGCATCTTGGAAATGGTGATGTGGCATGCATGTCCAGACATCAGTGTTTCATATTATATATCTATTTCCTTTTGTTTCTCGTTCACTGTATTACCCAGATCCCTCAAAACTTTTTCCCGAAATTTGTCCCCTATAACCCCACTGTCCCTTATAGCCCCGTTTTACGGTAGTAAAAGTGTGAATGAAGAATGTGAATGAAATCAATGGCATTGGCAAGTGCTCATGCTGGCCAGATGTAGCCCAATAGGCTTTGACTGAAATTCCATTATCTTAAAGTTATTTTTTACAAGTAAATAACAAAATTTAACACAAACAATCGAAATTCGAAAATAAACAGCTTCCCAAAAAGGGCCTTGCTCAAATTGAATGTTTTCGAGAAAAATGAATGTCACAGAAGCGCCACAATACACTTTATATTGTGTTCACTAGCAGTGCTTACATAACTAGCGCCCATGGCTAACCGCAAAAATCGTAAAAATCGTAATCTTGAAAAAAATGTGGAAAGAACTTTCTCGCTTTGGAGCAAATTTAATGAATATGTAGAAAAATAATCTAGCTGTAAATAAGAAATAAAACTAAAAATGTCATATTTTCCATGCTGCACAGTGCACTGAAACTCACCTCGTACCAAAGAACGAGTTTTTTTTTTTGGCGGCCTGTGGGGGGGGGCAATTTGGCCCCCCTAAGATCTCGAGAATCACGCAACCTAGCGACAAACGGCAAACGGTGTTGGATAGCCCTATCAGGGAACTACCTTGACCACTACCGTGACCTACCGTGACCAAATTTTATTGACCTAGGTCAAACCGATGACGTCACAGGTCAGGTCAAAGGTCGAATTTTCACCGTTTACGGGCATTTCAAGAAATGCGTTGTAAACTCGATTAAAATGCATTTCAATGAAAATCATCGATGGAGAATTGTTCGTCAAACACATATTTTGCTATTTGAGGTCACCGATACCAGGTCAGGTCACAGAGGTCACTGAGGGTCACGAATTAAAAATACCATGTGATGCATGTTTTATGGTTCATTTTATATGCCAAATACGATTATGTGGGTCAGGCAGCCTTGGAGTCAGTTAAGATTATTCAGGTCAAATTAGGTTAAATTTCAAAATTGATATTTTTGCATAAGATGGGTATCGATTCGATGCAGCTCGTCACGGGGAGTTCAATGGTGGTCTTTGTTTTGCGATACGTGTTCTAGAATCGCTAAAAAATGAGTTAAAAACTTGACGTCATCAATTTTGAACAGTTTTTTTTTCGCTATAACTTGACCAAAAAGAGGTATCGATCTGAAATTTAGTATGTATATAGAAGAGCACAGGGACTATCACATATTTACCGTTTTATCGAAAATCGGAAAAAGATATGGGATTTTTTGCGTTTTTTTTCTAAAGAAAATCAATTTTGTGAATTTGTGGGGGTCAAAAACCCAAAATTTTGAAAATCCGAGATAGCAGTTTTGTAGCGCCGCCTTTTGTCTACAATCAATTAATGAGCTTTGAAATTGCTTGGTAACTGTAGATTTTGTGAGTGTTTCAAGATTGCATGTATTTTGCTCATTTTTGCTCGAACATGACCTCAGTTTGACCTCAATAACTCCTGACCTAAGGTGACCTAAAACTTGAAATTGTGTGTGAAGGTGTCAAATTGATGCCCGTGAAGGCACTGAAAGCGCCGCCGTTTTCTTGCTATTCAGGAAAAACCACAGGGGGGGGGGCAAATTGCCCCCCCCCCCCAGCGGGGCGAGGGTAAACTTCCCGACTGACATATTCTCGCAGTCGTATGGAAGTCTATTCATCTCCAGAACTGCGCGGTACGCGAAACGCCTCTTCCCGGTTTCCGTTCTGACCCTTGGTAGAGATAAAAGATTGTCCTGCCTGGTGTGTCGTAAACGATCAGGGATGTCGCGGTTTGTGGTGAATAGATCGGCAAGACTCTCCGGCTCACTGGTGCGGCAGACTTTAACCCGGTTAACATAGGGTTGGTTGCAAGCTTATATCTCCGTCCGTGATGTTGCAAAAGATGCCAATGGTGCTTAACAATTTACAAAGTGATCCCCTCTAAATATTTGTAGACCACTGCATCGAAATTATCGCCAAATTAACGAGCTAGAGCCTCGTCAAATATGCTATGTAAACCGGGTTATTGTGGAGAAGGCAGAGGGTCTGGAAAAGGAAGAGGTCGGGAGCATCAAGCCAACCCAGTGCCTCCCGCAAAACTGGAAACGCTGTCGAATTTACGTTTCCCGGAGGCAATTCGAGCCGCAAAGTTGATGAGTTTTTGAAGGCGGTGCAGGTTTCCGGCTGTGCCAGAACCGTACACTAGAGGTGGCAAAATGTGGACCCGAGGACCCGGTCCAAAGAACCAGTCTGGACCCATCTGGGTCCAGACCGGTTCCTGGAAATTTTCTGACGGGTCCAACCGGGTCCTACCATAAACTATACATCTTGCACACTACACATTATTGCAAAATATGAAATGAATGAAGTGAATGTTTCTTTGCACACAGTAGCTCATGAGTATTCCCAGTGGAAAATAGGCTGTTCATACTATACCCACATGATGCAACTAATGATACCCACAAGTAGTTTGTATTAATTGACTTTTGGGAAACGGGTCCAACTGGTTCCGATTCCAACTTAGACCGGGTCCGACTGGTTCCGGAAATGTCCAGCCGGGTCTGGTTCGAGTCTGGTTCCCAAAATTTTCATCTTTTGCCACCTCTACCGTACACGACAAGGCAGTAGCGGATGTGCGAGAACACTAGGGATGTGATGATTTAAGGAAGGATTTCAGGTGGGAGGTAGTAGCGTATGTGGGAAAGGCTGACAAGGATACCGCAGCACTTTCTGGAGACGGCAGACACGTGAGCGTCCCAGGTCAGTTGTTGATCGAAGACAACTCCCAAGTTTCGCGCCTCAGGACGGGGGGTCAGAGAGGTGTCGCGAAACTTGACAGTGAATTTTGGGAGTGAGCGCAGATATTGTGAATACTCTGAAATGTGTGGTTTCTGCAGCTGTCCCAGAGACTTTGGGACCGACCTTCAGCCCTTTGTAGATGCGGTTGCTCCTATTGAATTGATCCTCCTATTGATAACGGAGTTGATCAATGGACTCCGCAGCCTAAAACTGCGTTTTATTGTCATTCTGTTGAATTTATTATGCTGCGGCGTTAGTGGCGCGTTTTTTGTCAATATTTTGTTGACCGGAAATGGAGTGGATGGGGAAAGACGCCTACTCGATGCATGGGGCAAGACGCCCCCAGTTTTCTGAAAGGGGGGCATTTTGCACGATGGTGAGAGTGCAGGGTAGCGCCCTGTAGGTCGGGGCCGAAAAGGCCTCTCCCTCTCCTTTTTTGCTGATATATCCTAAACGACTGCAGATATCGTCACCAAACTTTCGGGACTCCTCCGGGCATCCATTTTGCACATTGTAACAAAATTATATTCCAAAGGCTATGATAGGCTGACCAAAAATGACGTCAGAATGACGTCAAGTTCTGCCATGTTCATCATGTTCTGTTGATGGATATGGTGGGGGCGCTTTGCACATGGGTGTGGGCGTATTACCCAGGGTGTGGGGCAAAACGCCCTTTTGTAAGGGTATGCGAAAACCTTTTTGGGGGTTAAATACCTACCACACGCAGGTGTCTTTTCTTGGTCTCAAAGCGTAGTAAAAAGAATGAGCTACATGATGCTGCCCAAAAGTTTGAGTAATCTGTGTTGGGTTGAGTGTCAGAAGGTTTCGTGCTTAAGGGGGGGGGGGGGCGTTTTTGACCTATTCCCCCTATATTAATTTTTTTTTGGGGGGGGTTAAAAAAAATCGAGATAGCAATTTTGCAGCCCTGTTAATTCTACACCTTTTATGTGAAAAATATGTTTATGTGTGTCTAAAGCTGTAGGTCTGACAGCTCTTCCCGCGAAACCTTTTTTTGTCGAAAATGGCAGAAATGACGTCACTCCGTCGTCATTAGCGGCCAACCTATCATACCTTTGGGAAAAAATTGGTCACAATGTGCAAAAGCTATTTACGGGAGGGTACCTACTGAAAGTTTGGTGACGATTGGCGCAGCGGTTCTGGAGATATGTCGAAAAAAAAAACTAAAGGGGGGGGGGGGCCACAGCCTGGAAGGTTAAACTCAGTTCAAGTTCATGACGTGACCTGAAAAAGTAATGTTACCTACATGGCAGTCGATCCGTGTTGATAATCTGGACACCCAGGTGCTTTGTATTTTGTACATCGCTCCAGATTTAACACAAGATGCAAAAATTACGCATGATAAGTTTCGCAGTGTCGCGGCGCTGTGTGCCTTGACTTTCTTTCCACACGCAAAAAAAAAAAAAAACGATAATAAAGTCGAGAACCTACTCGCCCAGCACTGCCAAGGCTAGGTATCTAGGCCTATTTAGGTAGGGGAGAGTGGGGTAAGATGCCCAGGGTGGGAAAGACGCCCCACCCCCTCTAACGGCGAAACAAAGAATCGAACCTGGAAATTAATGTTCTTAGCGTAAAGCGGAAGCCTGCCTTGTTAACTGCACAAAAATTTGCGAGGCTTAGTTGGGCAACGGCTGGCTGGTGATTGCATGTTTTTTATTTGGTGCTTTCAAAAAATATTTTGGTGTCAAAACATTGTAAATATCAAAGATAGTAGATAATTTTTGCGTCCCTTGCTATAATCGTGATAAATTAACATGCGTGTACTGTGTCCCAAACAGTTTGTTTCAGGGTGTAGTTTTATGGCTAACAAATTGTACTAATTTAATGTTACCTCGGTACCTTGGGGAAAGACGGGGGGGGATGGGGAAAGACGCCCCCTAAATCCGTAGGCTGTCCTTCAAGCAGCCCGTCAAATCATTTATTACATACCTGTGATAAGAGACAAAAGCCGACCTGGGACTATTGAGAGTCCAGTACGGTCGGGTGCTCCCCATGCCGGTCTCTCGGCCCACACAGCGACTTTTTGGGCGGCATCTGACTCTGAGAGCCCTCACGACGGCCTCTTTGGGCCCCATTATTGGCTCCAGGACCCCTCACAACATCCTTTGAGGGCTCCCACGTTGGCTCCACGGGCCGCGCTGGCATCTGAGGTCCCCACGATGGGCTCGAGGGCCCTCAAGCATCATGAAGACCTATAAGGGCCCCACAGTGGTCTCCGAACGCCACCACGGAGGCTTGTTTGGCCGCGCTGGACTATAATGGCCCTAACGATGACCTCTGAAGCCCCTTACGACTACTTTTGAGGGCCCTTACGATGACGTTTGGTGTCTACTGCAGGCCCGAAGGAACTACTGATTCGTTCAGGCGATTCACGTGCCCATTTATGTCACTTATAGTGCAGGGGGCATCTTACCCAACGCCAGGGGGCGTCTTTCCCACCCTCTGGGGTAAGATGCCCCCTTTCACTTCTTCAGGAAAATGTTTAATAGCAAAAAAAGTTATCATATTTCAAGCACGAGAGTGTGATATTTTTGGAGAAAAATGATGTCGGCTTCCGTTGAAACTACAAGTTTTTGCTTTCCGATCGTCATTTTCGAATAATTTATGACATAGTAAAACCCTGGGCATCTTTCCCCACTCTCCCCTACCATGTGCACAGTAACATCAACATGCATCTTAAGAAGGCTGACAGCAGTAATTTGGGTATACTTAAAAAAAACACAAAAAAAAACAATGCGTATCACATAATCAGGCGCTTCAAGTAAGTTTCACCGGTTTTAACCTTCCAGGCGGTGGGGGGGGGGCATTTTTTGCCCCCCTTTAGTTTTTTCAATATATCTCGAGAACCGCTGCGCCGATCGTCACCAAACTTTCAGTAGCCTCCCGGGAGCAGCTAGCGCACATGGTGACCAAAATTTTTTCCAAAGGCTATGATAGGTTGGTCGCTAATGACGTCAGAGTGACGTCATTTTTGCCATTTTCGACCCAAAAAAGGTTTCGCTGGAAGAGGTGTCAGGCCTACAGCTTTAGAGATACAGAAAAATGTTTCAGACATAAGAGGTGTGGAATTAAAAGGGCTACAAAACTGCTATTTCGGTTTTTCGAATTTTTTGGATTTTGACCCCCAAAAATCAAAAAATAGATTTTTTGAATATAATAGCCAAAAAATCCAAAACGTTTTTTTTTTGAATTTCCAAAAACCGGAATATATGTGATAGTCCCTACCGCCTTCTATCTACATACCAAATTTGAGATCGATACCTCTTTTTTGGCCAAGTTATAGCGAAAAAAACTGTTCAAAATTGATGACGTCAAATTTTCAAGCTCAATTTTTAGCAATTCTAGACCTTGTAGCGCAAAACAAAGACCACCATTAGACTCCCCGTGACGAGCTGCATCGAATCGATACCCATTTTATGCAAAAATATCAACTTTGAAATTTGACCTTTTTGACCTGACCTTGACCTGACCTCCACCAGAAAGTGACCTAAACCGTACCTGATGGTCTTATAACCAACACCACTGAGTTGGAAATGAAAAACTGGCCATAAAACATGCATCGCATAACCTTAGTAAAGTTGGGCTCATGTGGTGACCCTTGGTGACCTTTGGTGACCTGACCTGTGAGCTGACCTGGTATGACCAGTGACCTCTAATAGCAACATATGTACTAGACAACTGACGCCTTATCGCTGATTTTCGACAAAATGCGTTTTACTCGATGTTAAAGCGCTTTCCCTAGAAGCCCCGTGAACGGTGAAACATTTTATCTTTGACCTGACCTGTGACATCATCGGTGACCCCGAGGTCAATGAAATTTGGTTTCCCTCGACAAATTTGACAGGGCTATCGAACACCGCTTGAATTTTCCGGATCCATCCAGTAGTTTCGGAGATACGGGGGGGGGCAAAAAAATGCCCCCCCCCCACCGCGCGGAAGGTGGCTGGTAGGCCCACCGCCTGCCGAGTGCCGGGTTAAATCTTGGTTTGATGCGCTTATCAATTGCGTCATGATGATTGTAAGCCTGAAAACCGTTTCTAGACTTAGACATACGAGTACAAACTACAAACGCACAAGCTGATTGATTATACAGGACGAGTTGATCTGCTCTACTAAAATCAGCCGTGCATGCAGATTGCAGAACCGGTTCGCAGGGATTCCGGATCGCTCACCCAATGACCTGCTGCTCCCACACCGACCCCGGATATGGTCCGAACCGCCGCGGCGAGATCACAAGGGGCACAATGCGTGAGTGAGCACTCACTATTTAGGCCGCTCATCTCTCCACTGCACTGGCTGTGGTGGGGACGTCAGTGTGAAGTGGCACCTTCCAGCAGTCAGTCGGACCGCACCAACCGCGCCTCGCGTCCGGTCCAGCGCCGTCGGATAACCGGTCACCGTCGAGCAGCTCCCACCAGCAGCTCGGACGGCCGGGAGTCGAGCGGCGCCGTCTCTGAGCTGGGCTGACCGCCCTGCACCACTGTCACTCCCAGCTGACAGCCAGCCGCGCCGCCCGTCGGCGGGGGCGTCGCGCCGCCTCTGATGGCACCGGCACGTGCGAGCCATCCTCGCGCGGCGCGTGGGACGGTCCGTGACCGGGCCGGCCGGTAGGATGGAGGATCCGGTCCGGCCGGCCCGTGTCGTTGCACCGCGGGGGGCAGGCCGTCTGCGGTGGCGGACTCACCCGGCCCAGGTCACTGCAGAGCTCACCGGTTCGCTCAGACGCTCGGCCGAGCTGGCGCCGCGTGGGTCCGTCGCCCGGTGCACAGTGCAGGGACTGAGAGGTGCACAGTGCACGGAATGAGCGGAGCACGGTGCACGGACTGAGCGGTGCACAGTGAGCGGACTGAGAGACGGGACTGAAAGGTGCAGAGTGACCGGACTGAGGAGTGTGGGGTGTCTGGAGTGCGTAATGCAGTGCATTGCAGATTAATGCATTGCAGATTAAAGAGTGTTGTGTCACACCTTCGCATCGCAGTTGCATCCATCGGGAGCGTGACTTCAGTGCTTAGACAATTGGGGGCGATAAAAGCTGGTGTTGTTTTACATAACCCGGTCTTTTATAACGGATCCGCAGCAACTGCTATTTCGCCTGAGCTGCGGTGATCCTTTTATTCAGCTGACCTGACCTAAACTGACCTCATATTATCTAACCACAGCTGGAAAACCCCATCTGATCCAACTTGATGTGACTAAACTTTATTCGTGCCGTCTGATCATTATTCCCAATCTAAATAACCTGTGTTCTTCGGAAACTCTTGGTCTCCCTCTCCCTCATTATTTGCCCCGTATCCCTAACCTGAGTAATACTGAGTCACTGCCGCCTCGATTGGCAAACATTGCGGTGCATCGTGAGCCTCTAAGTGAAACACAATGTATAGACGACGACATGCCACGCTGCTGGTCACACTGCTGGTGACGTTGCTGTCGTTCTGCGCGGGGCCGAGCTGGTCGGCCGTTCTCCCCGGCCTAGCGAATCGCTCCACGGACAACTGCACGACACCCGTGTCTCTGAACTCCGTGCTGCTCTCTGTGGCGCGCAGTCCCGAGGTGACTGACGAGACGGACGACGAAACCTCCCCTCTGAGCTCCAGGCTTGGTCCGTTCGGTCAGATCCCGGAGCTGGACAATCGAGACTCCTTCTCCAAAGGCGGCACAGTGATCTTCGACACCAGCCCGCTCACGCCGCAAGACTTTGAGCGTGCGGAAAACCTGGTGGAGCAACCCTCTGATGCCGATATCGATGATCTCATGTACCAGGAGGAGTATTTCCAGGGAGACATCGTCATGCCCGTCAGTGACTTTGTGGCGCTCAATGAGGACAACGCGGTGGTCGAGACTAGTCTGTGGCCGGGCGGGCGGATCTACTACACCATGTCCGGTAGGTTTACAACGCACGAGAAGAGTGTCATCGCCAGTGCCGTGAAAGAGTTCGAGCGACGCACCTGTATCCGAGTGATTCCTCTGACGCCGGGGTACACCGAGTACGATCACGTTCACGTCACCAAAGACGAGGGCTGCTTCAGCTCCGTGGGCAAGAAGGGCGGTCGGCAGGAGCTGTCACTGGGACAGGGATGTATCTTCAAAGGCATCGTGATGCACGAGTTCATGCATGCGGCAGGATTCTGGCACGAACAGAGCCGCCCAGACCGCGACGACTTCGTGCGCGTGCATTACGACAACATCAAGCCGCTGATGCGCTTCAACTTCAAAAAGTACGAGTGGGGCAAGGTGCCGAACCTTGGTCTTTCGTACGACATCGGCTCCATCATGCACTACGGGCCGTACGCGTTCGCGCGCGACAAGACTCGGCCGACATTGACGGCGCTCCGGAGCGCTGGCAATGGACGAATGGGTCAACGGGACGGATTCAGCAGCCTGGACGTGCAGAAGCTGAACAGCTTGTACGGCTGCGGGGGCACGAAGCCGAAGCCGCCACCGCCTCCGCCGCCGCCCACGCCAAAGCCCACTGTGTGTGAGGATACGAACAATCACTGCGAGTACTGGGCCACGCGAGGAGAGTGTTCGCGAAACCCGAAGTATATGTTGCAGTACTGCAAACGGTCCTGCAAGGAGTGCGGAGGTAAGAATCAACGTGGACGTTTGAAACTGCTTCTTAGTAAGTGTATGGACTTGGTGCATATAAAACGCCGGCGCAATGACACAATTTGGGATCCCCATAGCGCTCATTAAACAAAAATAGTGGATTTAACCGTCAAAATTTAAAAGTTCATGCAATCAAGGATTACGGAGTCAATCAGTAGAAGTATAGGATAAAATGGGTTGATCTTCAGTTCAACCTACCAACAATGTTCTGTTTTTAGCTGTGCGCTGTGTAATCTTTGCAATTTAGACTTCGTTCTTAGGCCATCACTGTTTATCGCAAACCACAATTATTTGCTTACTTCCCAACACACATTACGCCATTGAGCTCACAAAACGTTGAAACGTGAACAATGAACATATTATATCAAATGAACAATTTGTCGCGTAACCAGTAGAAAAGAAAATGACGACGACGACGATGCTACCTTATGATTGTGATGACATATTTTTTTTTTTTTGTTACAATCCAACGATTACTCAACGCCTCAACGTCTCGACGACTGTTCTGCGCACTATAAAGTCACTTATTTAATATAATCGACGACAATTCAAATACGATGATATGACTAATGAAATAGCTTTCACTGTGAGACGGATGCACGACGACTTAGCATAAGTTGCGCCATCGACTCCCTGACCTATGAATGAACATCAGTGCATCCGCGAAAAACTAACGTGGGAGGAGAAGCGGATTTCGCCCACAGTGTATGGGCGGGCGGGAGTGGTGAGAATGAGTCGATCAAACTGGAGGCGAGATCAGTAAGGGCGTGGGCCGAGGAACTATTGAGACCGAACCCAGCCTCCATTGTGAAAATCAGTGGGCTGTAGTGAGTGGGGTTAATTTATTCTGTCGATGCCGGTGGCGGAATCAAACACGAAACACCCGGGGTGGGCTTTGGCGAGGTATATTGGGTTTTCGCTCTTCACTTTAACCCGCGCCCTGTGTCCTTTTTCATAAAGCCTGGAATTGTAGAATTGTAGTTGTAGTTTGTAGGTTTGTACTTTCGATTGTACAAATCTGTTTCATAAAGGAAAAAGTACAATCCGAAAGTACAAACTACAATTCCACAAACGTACAACTCACATTCGGCAATTATCAGCCAAAAAAACTAGCAATCTGTTTCATAAAAAGAACGGTTCCTCTGATTTTGGGATTTCCTTGACGGAAAATACAAACGAAATCTACAACACCCTAACCGTGTGTAGAATTTCGGAGATGAAGTGTAGGAATCAGCTTAACGTTGCTAATATATTTTAATTCAATAATAACCATGCTCAGATACACAATATGTATTAATACAAGCGAGAGAGCGCAGCGAGCGAAGCGAGGTCTTTTCAATACAACGGAAAAATCTCAGTATTGAGCGGCCCGGTCCGGCCCGGCCAGTAACACTTTTGAGAGGCTAATATCTCAGCAACCGCTGGACCGATTGGCCTGCGGTCTTTTTAATTGGATAGTTCTATTCCTTCTACCCCGTAATTGACTACTCCTGATGCATTTCAGAGGCCCTTATGGCACGTGCCACCATAGGCGGTGGAACAGGGGGGGGGGGGGACACCGGGGCACTGTACCTACCCCTCTTTGATTTTGCCATTTTAACATTAGGCCTAATGGCGTTGCATGGAAAGAATGGGACCAAAAGTCGGCAGTGCCTCCCCCCTTTATTGAAGGTGTTCCGCCGCTACTGCGTGCCACGTGAAAAGTCAAGGGTGCTCATTTTCAACCTGTTTTGCAAAAGTAGTGATTTTGAGAGGCTCATATTTCAGCCGCCGCTAGGGCGATTGTCTTGCGGTACCTAATTGTTGTAGGATAGCTGCATCCCTTCTACCAAAGGTCGGATACTCTTCATCTATGTGATTGGCCCCCACTGCATGTGCAAAATGCAAAAAGAAGAGGTGCCAAATTTGTTCCCATTTCAATAACTAGGTAATTACTGGAGCGATTTCGCTGAAACTTGGCATACATGTGGGCGCCCACCTAGCAATGCATTCCCATGTGTTGCGGTTAGGGTGCTACTGCACGTGCAGGGGGTGCCTCCAGACCTAGAGAACCGCTGGGCCGATTGCACTCAAATTTGGTATACGGTTGGGGACCGGTTAGATAGAGTATACCGTGCAAAGTCTGTTTGGGCCCTATATATGGCCTTGGTTTGGGCCCCGTTTGCACCTGCGCACGTGCAGGGTGTCACATCCAGATCTTGGGAACGGCTGGGCCGCTTGCATCCGACTTTGGTGCTCAGCTAATAAATGGTTGGTAGGGTGCACAATGCACATTGCACATTGCACGAGCCAGTTGGAGGTACCCTGGCGTCCTGCACATGCATGATGCAGGGCTCACTCACTCGCTCGTTCTTCGCCCAAAAGGCAATTAACTGGCTATTTTCATCATTTTCATGTTTATATATAACTTCATGTGTGCCACATTTCCGAAAAAAAAAATGCCGGCATTGAACGGCTCGACGCGACCCCCCCCCCCCCTCGATCCGGCTGACCCACGCCAATGGCGTTTTTGAATATATGGAACTAAAGCGCTGAAATTCGTAGCATCGTTCGGGCCCAATCAGAGTTTTTAATTCGATAAAAATACGGCATTTTATCAACAATTTATTTTCCTTATTCACACGAACCTTTTATCAATAGGCAGTCATAATAAGTTAATGAATAAGATCTAAAAGTTAAGGACAAATATATACCTAGCTATTATTGATATCAATATCTGAATACATAATGATGTAACGCAGATGCGTTACATTTTTTTCATCTTTCATGCTGAACTGCAAGCTGTGCCACAAGCTGAAACACGGCCATCTGCGAGCGCCGCACAGACACGGTCAGCCGGCTAAATCGGCTGTGATACCCTCTCTCCGTCCCAGCTGCCGTCCACACAGACGGCGCAGTAGGCTCTGACAAACAGGGGTCCTCTATAGATGACCACCCCACTTCATGAGAACCCGGATCTGAAGCCAACAAATAGCATACCGAAACGCGCCATTCTGCCAGCCTCGAGCCATTAATCAGTTTAGCCTTTGGAAAACAAGACTCTGTCCCACGCTCGGCACCCCGCCAGAGAACAAGGAGAGGGGAGTGCAGACCGGCCCTGATTTGAACCAAAACAAGAAAGGGGAGCGGGGACCGACCCGGTTTGTACGAAAACAGGATGAAATGGAACTCGGTCGCCAACGACAAAATATAGGACATCTGGCCGGAGCTGACTTCAAAACAAGGGGGAGCGGAGGGCCAGGCCCGCCACCTGGCACCTCAGGCGCCGTGAGCGCCGGCGGCGAATTCCACCCGATCGCCACGTGAAAGGGTGCGACTGCATGGCCGGGGGTGCCGAACTTCAGCAAATCACGAACGTTTGAAGGCGGAGCCAAACGCACTTTCTGAGAATGGAGGACGAAGATTGGACAAGGAGATGCTGCCCGGCCCTCTGAAGTATGACGTCATCAAAAGTATAAGTTGATGAAACGGAACTGGAACGCTCTCTGGTCCTCGCTCTCTCGGACGACGCATCCCGCGCCGGTGGCACTCTCGGCCCACGTCTCTCGTCTGACATCGCGGACAGCCCACGAGACACCAGCGGCTGGCATCACGGCGCCGGCGGCGGCTCTGGCCGCCGGGCCGGGCGCTGGACGGACACGACCATCATGTCAGCGACTCCATCTCAAGTAAGGTCACGCGGTGAACACGGGTGCGCACCTAGTCCCTAAAATCCTTCAAGTAACCCCCCCCCCCCCCTCGTTACTGCTATGTGAGCCACATTATATTCCCCTTTTTAGGTGTCGTCTGCAATGTTTTAGGCCATTCAGTTTAGGTAGTTAAATTTATTCTTGGGACTTTCAGTCTAGGTAGCTTAAGTTCACAATTCGATTTCGGTAAACTATGTAACTGTGCGCGTGGCGCGAGACGCGTGCCGACGTGGACCCTCGTCCGGCGCCCCGTGGTGATTAAGGCGGACGGAGGGGATTATACACCGTGGGGAGTCTGGAAAGGGACGGGCGACTGTGTACCGCACCGCGCGGCTTGTGGGGCTCAGTTGATGGGCGGCCTGGGCCCAGAATGTTTCTTTTAAATTTGACGTGTAAGGGAATTTAAGGTGTTGCGTCGGAGTATGTAAATAAATGGGACTTGTAAATATTGAAATACGAGTGTGAGTATAGTGCTGAAGGGCAGGGATCGGAGGATGGAGCATAAAAGGCCATATGCCAACCCACAGTCGGGAAAGAGGTCATTTCCAAGGTGTCTGGCCAGAGCAATTTACAACGATCAGTTTTCTTTATCTGTTTGATTTTACACAGTGCACACAGGGATTATACGGGGAGCACAGAACACACACAGGACCTCCCTAGCCTAGCCGATACTGGAGCTTCTCCGGTTGACTCCTAAGTGCCCTTGCCAGTGGATTTCCTGGCACTCCATCCTCCCCAAATTATCCCACGGTCCAAACAATAGCGATTACACACAACATACACAGGACCTCCCTAGCCTAACCGATACTGGAGCTTCTCCGGTTGACTCCTAAGTGCCCTTGCCAGTGGATTTCCTGGCACTCCATCCTCCCCAAATTATCCCACAGTCCAAACAATAGCGATTACACACAATACACACAGGACCTCCCTGACCTAACCGATACTGGAGCTTCTCCGGTTGACTCCTAAGTGCCCTTGCCAGTGGATTTCCTGGCACTCCATCCTCCCCAAATTATCCCACGGTCCAAACAATAGCGATTACACACAACACACACACGACCTCCCTAGCCTAACCGATACTGGAGCTTCTCCGGTTGACTCCTAAGTGCCCTTGCCAGTGGATTTCCTGGCACTCCATCCTCCCCAAATTATCCCACGGTCCAAACAATAGCGATTACACACAACATACACAGGACCTCCCTAGCCTAACCGATACTGGAGCTTCTCCGGTTGACTCCTAAGTGCCCTTGCCAGTGGATTTCCTGGCACTCCATCCTCCCCAAATTAT